CTTATATTCTTTTGTTGTTGTTTTTGATGCTTATATTCTAAACTAATCTCAACCACTCTGAATTTTGCATCCAGGTGCCATACTTAAAACAAGCACTTGAGCAGCAGTCATTTTTTTAAAAAACAAACTGTACATTTTAATTGTATAGAAAGGTTCCCCCCAAAAAGGGAAAGTGAAATCCAGAATTAGATTATAGATCATTAGCAATATTCATTAATTACTACTACACTACTAAAACTATGTGAATGTCTGACAGGGAACTTAACTGAAAAAAATCAGGTAATTGACAACACCCACCCACTGATCAATCTAAACATCAAAAATAAAAGTGTGCTCGCTTCAACAGCATGTATATTAAAAAAAAACAGAAAAAGATAAAAAAGAAAACAACCAGCAGCATGTATCCCTTAGTGTCATACAATACAAAGCACAGCGCTCTACTGTGAATATTTTTGCCAAAATATCAAACTAAAATCTGAGTTTTCAGTTTGACCACTAGTTCACAAGAAATACAAAGGAGAAAGGAACATGTTACATGAATCTGCTATAGCAAATACAGTCAACAAAGTTCAACTGGTAAATTCTATAGGCAAGAGATCTGGGTTTTTTCCCAATAAATACATAGCAAATGATGAACAATAAGGGGAGAGTAACGGAGACTGAAAGACTTGTCAACCAGATGCTGTGTGGAATACTTTGAATTCTGATTCTAACAAACCAATCGGAAAAAACATGAAAAAATCAGACAAATATGATGAATAAAATGATTAAAGAATTATTAATTTTTTAGGTGCTAACAGTACTGTGGATGTGTTAAGAGCCCTTATTTTTTTAGAAATACATAAAGTATTTATAGATAAGTATGCCTGGGCTTTGCTTTTAAATAATCCAGTTGAAGGGGAATAGGAGGGATGATAGAAGAAGCAAAATTCACAAGTCTTAAACTGTTGAAATTGGTCAAAACTATATGGTAGTTAATTTTATTGTTATATCTGCATTAGATCAAATTATCTATGGCAAATTATCAAATTTAATTTTGTAAGTGCTTGCTTTAATAGACCTTTATTTAAAAATCAAAAACAAAAATGTATGACATACAATAGAAATTACACCACCAAAGTCATCAAGTTCTGAATATTCTAACTCCTAAACCGCTCAATCAGTTCTCTTTTCTGCTGGTCTCTTTTCCATTTAAACACACACCAATGTATCCGCAATATTGTTTCCCTAAGTGACTCGCCAAATTCTAAAAAATAAAATCCAAACTTGTTTTCAAGGCATGCATTATTGCTCTCAGAAATCTGGCCCTTGCCTTTCTTTACAACACTCCCACCAGTACCTTTAATTCTATACTCCACACATTTCAAACTATGTACAGACGCATAGTACCTGTAAAGTCATTCCAATTATAAATTAAGGATGCCCTTCCTTCACTTCTAAAACTCAGTTCCCTTATACTATAATCACCAATTCAATGCTCTACTGATACTACAAGACTCACCTCTATTAATCAGCTCCTTTGCAAGCCTACCCAGACTTTCCATCTGATTTCCCTATATTTTCACTGTAATAAATGCAAAAAAAATCAAAAACCATCCTTTTGTTTTTTGCATATGTATAGTGTCCTGCAAGACTGCTGGGTGTTATAGTACCTGCAACACAGTAGACACTAAATGTTTTATGATGTATACATGTTTCATTTGCAATACAGGTAGGTCTTTTATAAATAACTAGAATGTGAGTTATCTGAAAAGTGAGGAACTTGTCTAACACATCTTTGCCACTCCAGTCAGTGCCAATCATACATAGTTCTTAGAGTAAACATGAAAAACGCACTTGCCAAATGGGTAAGACAAATTATTTCCAGTAGTTAAGGTAAGTAATTTTGTATAAATTTGATTCCCTGCCAGTTCTTTAATTTGTGCTTCTTCATATTTTATTTTGTAATGTTTTTGGTCCATCGACTGCTTTGTCTTTTGGCTTTTCAAAACAGAAAAAGAAGTTTGTATGTTTTCTTTAGTATCAAAAAACAAACTGAAAATCAGAAGCAAATGCTTTAAATAAAAGTTTACAGTAAGAATTATACACCTGGGTCTCCCCTGGTGGCGCAGCGGATGAGTGCTGGGCTGTGAAGCTGCCCATCGCCTCCGCAGCGCAGGTTCAATCCCCAGCCAGGTTCAATCCCCAGCCGCCAGCGAGGGTCCCACATGGCATGCAGACCTCTCCTGCTGCGCCTGCTGCTCCCCTCAGCAGTGTACTTCGTCAGTCTGCCAGCTCTGCTCTCCCCTCTGGCTCTGGTGAATTCTCTCACCCTCCCAGGCTTCTGACTGTACCCAGTGGTTGTGTAAATAAATAAATAAATCTTTAAAAAAAAAAAAAAAAAAAAAAAGAAGTATACACCTGAGAGTAGACACAAATACTTAGGTAAACTTTCAGGTCATGGTGTTGACCCAAAGATAAGAGAGCTCAACAAATTAACATTATCAAACTAAGCACCCCCTTTCGGGTAACTGTAAGATTTCACTCTAATTGGAAATTGTACAGAAAATTATACAACTCAATAGTAGCTGGGACTGAAGCAAAGTGAAAAATAAAATCAGACTCTTTATTTCAAATTCCCAAGTGAAAATTTCTCCCTTTTAATGAACAGGATTGTTAAAAGCATGTACAACCAATACTGAGTTCATACTATGTACCAAACATGGCGCACAATTTAGGTATACAAACCTATTATTTTCTGGGGGAGTATATCTGTGTAAAATGACTGGCTATAAGCAGCAAGGCAACAGAAGCAGGAGAAACTTAGACCCAACTTAATTTCTGAAAACTAGATTTCAAAGTATTTGTAGCATGACTTTAAGGTGACAGGTTAGATTTAAAATGAGTACCCTGAGGTAAGACTAAGAAATTAGACTCACTAGAAACAAAGAAATCTGGTTGCTAACATTAGGAAGCAATGGTTTTGAGGATGAATCATCTTTATTTCTATTTTCTAACGTATCTAAAACTTTCAAAATAGTAAGTTCAGGGGGCCTCCCTGGTGGCGCAAGGGGTTAAAAGCACAGCGGTATGAAGCTATCCGCAGCCCCTGCAGCACACGTTTGCACAAGTTGGATCCCTGGCCAGAGAGCTACCCACATGGCGCAGATCTCTCCTGTCTTGCCCGTTGCTCCCCTCAGCAGTGTATTTCAGTCTGCCTGCCTGTTCTGCTCCCCACTCCTCTCACCCCCTGCACCTCTGGCCTGTATCCTTGTTCTTGTATGCATAAATAAATCTTTAAAAAAATAGTATGTTCAAATTTATGCTATGTTATATAAAAGGAAAACCAGACATATTGCTTAAGTCAGTATTAATGGTTTGCTTTTTTCTAAAAAAAAAAAGCTTGAGTGTCATGCTATAGCCTGCTCTTTATGATTCAACTTTGACTCAACTCCACCTCCCCCCCAAAAGAACGAGAGTCCCTTAAAATCCTTTTAAGTAACCAATTAAAAAAATCAGTGTAAGTAGGGGACTTAAATCTTTCTTTAAAAAACTAGTGTGAAAAAGTGAAAAGATGTTTTGCCTTCACATTACCAAAGAAGAGTGAAAAATAGTAGAAGGGGCACTATTTAGTCAACGTGTAGCGATATTCGTGGTTTCAGTTTTGAACGCATCTGAACCAGCCTCTAGAGAAAAGGAAACCTGCTAGACTCCGGCACAGGGCGAGTGTTTGCAAGAAGCCTATCAAGTTCAAGGACTGACCAGAAACACCTACCCCGCAGTTCGGGTCCCTGATTTCAATGACTTTCTGTGTAACAAATCTTCAGGCTTGGTTCCTAGTCTGTTATCAAAATGCTCGATCAAAAGCTGCAATGCACCGCCTCCCTCTCTCCACTTTGAGGCACCTTCGGCTTTAAGCAGGACCAAATCCTTCTCTCGGGCAACGGTAGTTGGAAATCAATCCTGACAACACATCGCTTCGGGAGCTACAGCAATGGCCCGATAAAATCCCTAATTCTTCAAGAAAATCCCCAATCAGATCAGCAGCCAACACGTCAAATCGCTCCGCTTTGGCACCAGACGGGAAATGTACCTGTAGAGTATCCGCTGCGCAGCAGACACAGACACGGCACAGCTCCAGTCCCGGTGTCCTCTACCCCGTGTCTGCTCCCCCCAGCGCTCCCTCCCTTTCCACGCAGAACTTGAGCAGCGCCCTTGGCTCCCTCATCCGCCCGCCACCGGCGCCAGGAGGAACGCGCCCCGGGGAGCTGCGGGGCTCGGCGGCTGAGCTCTGCGGCGGGCGCGCTGCGGCGGCTCAGCCCCGCCAGGGACTCCCGGGCTCGCGCCTCGGCCGCCTCGGGGGCCTTCGCGGGGGTCTCCGCGCAGGGGGTTCCCGCGACGAGCTGTCGCGCCGGCTCTGCGCCCCGCTTCCTGCCCCTCACCCCGAAACCACTGGACCCGCGTCCCGCCAGGGCGAGTCCGGAAGCCGGCGGGCCATTCCGGGGCGGCGCGCCGCGCCGCCGCGCTCACTCTCGCCGCCGGGTCCCCCGCGCCCCGGCCCGCTCCCCCCGGGCCGGCGCCCCGCCGGGGCCTGCGGGGTCCAGTACCATTCTCCTCACGGGGCGGGCTCCGGAAGGGCAGCAACTCCACCTCCTCCTCCTCCGCGGCCTGTAGCCATCTATTGGGAAGCGTCTCTGGAGTCGGCAGCTGAGGCCGCCGGACGAGGACAGCCCAGGGAAACCACCTCAGAACTAACTCAGCTCCGGCGCTAGCAGCAGAAGCCGAGTCTTTCATAATTGTGCGACCAACTCCTCCGGGTGACTGGCCACAGGGACGCGCCCGCGCCCGCCTCCGCCGGCGACGGGGCTGAGGACAGACCACGTGAAGGGCGCGTCGTGTGCGTCGCCGCCAGCGACACGGTCACGTGAGGGGCGCGCGCCCCCGCCCTTCCCGGCCGCCGCGCTCGGCGCCTCGCGCGCACGCGCCGGGCACGAGCGCCCCGCCCCACCCGCTCCCCGGCTTCGCGGGGAGGGGGCGGGGGGTTCCCCACCGGATGGCCATTGGATATCGAGGCGGGACTGGCACCGACGTCTGACGCGGCGCCCGGAGGGGAGCTTGAGGAAGCGCCAGCCGAGAGCGGTGAGGTTCTCGGCTGCTGGGACCCAGCCCGCGTGGCGGGGCGGCCTTGGCTCCGCTGCCTGGGCTCGGCCTCTGCCTGTGCGCGGGAGGCATGTTCCCCGGGCCCTCCTCCGAGCCTCTCTGGGGTGCAGGCCTTCAAGAGCTCGCGCTCCTCGTCCAAAATGTAAAAGCAGCGTACCTCACATCACGTTCTTCTGCTCGCTTCTCCTGTTTCTGCCTGCAGAAGCCTTACTGCTTTCACTGGGCAGCAGCCTCCCCCTGCAGAGAGCTGCCTGCAGGCTTGCGTACCCCACACAGCTTAGCCAAAAACGGTGCTGTCGTGGTTCTTGGGTCTCACGCCTGCCTTTCTGCCTTCCCATTTCCTTTGCTATCACCCCAGCGCGAGTCTATTCGTGATACCCACTGGGTGGTGCTTTCCACACTTCACCTCCCAGCTCCCAAAAGACTTTTTGACTTTCTGTATTTGATCATTTGCTATCCGACTCTAGCTTATCTTTTGAAAAACAGCGTTATTGAGAAATACACATACGACAACCTATACATCTTTAAGTGTACAGTTTGACACGTATTGACACATGTATACACATTTGAAATCATTACAGTCAGGACAGTCTCCTTTTGAATTTGTAAGCCTTCCATCCTGTCCCTCCTCTTCCCCATTCCTTAGCAACTACTGATTTTTGTCATTGAAGGTTAGTTTGCATAGTCTAGAGTATTCTATAATGATAGTGATGGAGGAAAGGATAGAAAACCTAAAGGAGGCATCACAAGACTAGAACCTAACTCACACAAGGAGGTAGGGGTAGAGGGATTAGCTTAAGCCATTAACCCAGTTAAAGAAACCAAGACCCTTGGGCCTCAACGTCCAGATCAGGAAGTGCAACACCCCAAAAACTATCAGACTGCTCTAGGGTGTGTCAGGACCACAGACCTGAAAGTGAAGGTGGAGATTAAGGAACAAAGCGTCCACCCACAAAGATGAGCCCCTCCCTACCAAAAGATGATAAAACCTAAGGCTGCCTGCATGAAGGCACAGCAGTCCTCTGCCCACCTGTGACTATGCAGGTGCTTCCCTTCACCAACCTTCTCCCTCCGCAGGGCAGCAGCCTTCCTGCCTGCCCATGACCTGTCCCATGCCTGGACTTCTCTTCATTGATCTCCCTCAGTAGAGGCAGCTCTCCTCAAGGCTGCCTGCCTGCAACCATGCAGGCCTCTCAGCAAACCTGTCCCATTCGGGGCAGCTCTTTCTGCCCGCTTGTGTCTATGCAAGTGTACCTTACTCCTCTGTCCCTTTTTCTAATAAACCTACTCTTTCAAATGTAACTAACATCTCTGTCTCGTGGAGAAACTCACCTGGGAAACTCACTGCATGCTCCTGAAAGGGGAGCTCTCCAAACCCACAGAATCCAAAAATTACATCAATAACATACAATGTGTGCCCTCTTTTGGGGGTGGAGGGGGTCTGACTTATTTTACTCAGCATAGCTATAACCTCTTAAACCTACAATTCACAGAAATATGATCTTATCTCCAACAAAACTGATCCACCCATTGTTTCCCCCAATAAGCTTTGGCGGTGCTAGTGAACAATCTTCAGGGATTGTGTATTTATTACCCTTATGGCAAATCCAGAAAAACAAAGGTTTAAAATTGTCTTAATATATGTTTTATAGCTTTCCTACAAGATTATTAGACCCTGGGGACTAGGATTTTAGCTAATTTATGCATGTATTCAACAAATGTTTATTTTTTAGATCTCAGCTGGGCCTACACACTTCCTGCCTTTAGGGAGTTTATAATCTAGAAGGTGGAGACAAACCAGAAAAACAAAACACAATGAGATAGAGTCCTTTGTTTTCATCCTTCTTTGTGACTCTGGTCTTGTACCAACTACAAATTCTTCACCTCTTCTTTGGATGATGTAGGAAGGAAACAAGAATATCTGTTAAACAATTTATCAGACTAAATTCAGAAATCGGCTTTATTAAGTGATTTATGATTGGGTGGCATTCTATCTAGCAAGTAGAAAAACTGCCTAGGCTTGCACAAAATGGAAAGTTTTTATAGTCAGAAAGAGAGTGGGGTAAGGTTATTAGCAAAAGAAAAGAAAGATTATTTCAAGTAAATTCACCTTCCCTCAAGGGAGGGCAGGAGGTATTATGCAAATTACCTCACTAGCGCTAATCTGCAAAGTCCAGATTGATTGATTTACTGTACATTTAAGAGAGGTTGAAACTGCAATTAGGTTAGATGTTAAGTCTGAATGGAGCACTTCATGAGCTCCATTTTGGGCCTTTTTTTTTTCCTTTCTATTTTTAACAACTCCATGATACTTGATTTCTAGAATTCTTCAATATATTGGAGTAATAAATTAGAGTTAGAAATGAAGAATAGAATTATTCCATAATTTAATAAAAATAAAATCCTTACTGTACAGATGATCAGACAGCCCTGAAGTTCACATATGCTGACTTTCAGTGAGCAAACAATTCTTCAGGCTGAATGTTTCCTTGAAAATATATATATATATATTGAGTCTAAGAATAAATATTTCATGAACAGTAATTTTTCCTTACATTATTATTCATTTTTGTACAGTAAATGATTACTCCGCTCGGATATAGTTCCCAGAGTTTTCCTGCCACCATATCACCTCACCTGTGAACCATTACCATATTCCCTTGTGTTCACCCCTCCCTGTCCCCTCTTTTGCTGTATGCCTCAGATCTATGGTCAGCTTGCCAGTTTTGACTTTTTCTTTACCTTTCGTTTGTTTTCTCTTTATTCTGCATATAAGTGAAACCATTGATATCTCTTTTTCCCTTCTTTTTTTTTTTTTTTTTTTTTTTTTGTGGGACCTACGCTGGCGGCCTGGGAACGAACCGGCGCGTCCAGCCTTCCAGCCCAGCGTTCAACCACTGCGCCACCAGGGGAGGCCCTCTCTTTTCCCTTCTGACTTATTTCACTTATCATAATCCTTTCTAACTCCATTCATGTTGCTGCAAATGGCATGAGTTTAGTTTGTCTTTTTGATTGTATCATGTAAATGTACCACAACTTTTTGATCCGTTTGTGTATTTTGGGGCATTTGGGTTGTTTCCATATCTTGCCATTGTAAATAGTGCTGTGATAAACATAGGAGTGCAAGTTTCCTTTCAAATTAGTGCTTTTTGTGTTCTTTAGGTAGATTCCTAGGAGTGGAATTGCTAGATCATATAGTAGATCCATTTTAAGTGATTTTTAAAAATTTTTTTTAAGATGTATTTATTTATGCATACAAGAGCTGGGGTACAGGCCAGAGATGCGGGGGGTGAGAGTGTAACAGGGTGGTCCCCAGGAAAGGGAGAGATTCCAGGTTTCCTGTACCACCCAAAAGGAGGGTGGAGTTGAGCAGGGAGAAGAAGAAGCTGCAGAGGAGACTGAGGAAGGAAGGATGCAGGATGGAGAGCCAGAAGGAGACCTGGAGGAAGCACATGTAGCCAAGAAACATGTGAAGAAACTGTGCTTGCCGTTTGGTTGTGGACTGGTTGAAACAGATGTGGGTGAAACTTGTGGGGAGGTGACAATGGCGGGTTTTGTCTTGATTGTGATTTTGCTCTTTTCCTTCCAGACTTGTCTGGTTGTTTCTGATACTTTTCTGTGGGTCCCCACTGGAAGATGCTTTAGATTTGTGGCAGGCTTTGGGGACTTGCTCTGGGCCAATCCTGCTTGGGTGGACTTTTTCCCACAAAGGAACAGGTAACTTTGGGTGCTTGATTTAGAAACTATATTCTTTGCCTTTCCTGTATTGTTTACTAATTGTATTAAAGTTCCTTTTCATTAAAGTCTCATATGTTTTGTTTTGATGCGGCAGATTGCAGAAGCTACTTAGAGCAGGCAGGTTTGTGGAGTCTGGGGTGCCCCTCTCCCTGCCCTGTAACAAGAGGATCCACCAGAGACAGAGTGGGGAACAGAACAGGCAGACTGACTGAAATACACTGCTGTTGGCCATTTGTATTTCTTCTTTGGAGAAGTATCTTTGGTTCTCCTGCCCATTTTTTTCACTGGGTTGTTTGCTTTGTTTTCGTTGAGTTGTATGAGCTCTTTGTAGATCTTTCATATCAGAGCCACATTCATTGTATGGAGTGCAAATATTTTCTCCCACTCAGTAGGATGACTCTTCATTTTGATTGCTGTCTTTTTTGCTGTTCAGAAGCTTTTTATTTTTTTTTAAAGGTTTATTTATGCATACAAGAACTGGGGTATAGGCCAGAGGTATGGGGGTGAGTGGATTCTGGAGCAGAATAGGCAGATTGACTGAAATACATTGCTGAGGGGAGCAGCAGGTGAGACAGGAGAGGTTTGCTGCACCATGTGGGTCAGCTCCCTGGCTGGGGATCGAACTCATTTTGCAGTAGCTGTGGATTGCCTCATAGTGCTGACACTTAACCCCTTGTGCCACCCGGAGGCCCCAGAAGCTTTTTAGTTTGAGGTTGTCCCAACAGTTTGTCTTCTCCTTTGTTTTCCTTGCTTCTGGAGAAGAATCCCCAAAGATATTTCTGAGGTTTATGGAATAGAGTGTTTTGCCTATATTCTTTTCTGTATATTTTATAGTGTCAGGTCTTACATTCAAGTCTTTTACCCATTTTGAGTTGATTTTTGATTATGGTGTGAAATAGTAGTCTAGTTTCATTCTTTTGCATGTTGCAGCCCAGTTTTCCCAACACCATTTATTGAAGAGGCTTTCCTTTTTCTAGTATATATTCTTTGCTCCTTTATCATAGATTAGTTGACCATATATGTGTGGTTTTATTTCTGGGCTTTCAGTTCAATTTTAGGAACAGTGTTATTCAATGTTCAGTGATTAACAGATGGTAAAGTCACTGTTTCAGAAAATGATTATTAAATGCTCTCACTTCTTACCCTTAAGGACTGTTTCCATTTTGTCAATGTCATCTCAATTTCCCGCTCTCAATGAATCACATACTCATTCTCCCTATCTGCCCAATTTTTGGCAACAATTCAGCTCAACAAACATCTACTACTATGCTCTGTTTAAAGCACTAAGCAAAGTGATATAAAGAATAAAAACATGAAAAAGGATGGTATTCTATCAGCTCATAGATTTTTAACTCAGTCTAGTGCATGCATTCTCAACCTCAAAGGGGATGACATCGTCCCCATGAAAATAAAAATTGATTCTTGGAGTCAGGGGGGAGTAAAAAATGCTACTCTTATATATGAAAGCATAGCTATATATACAGTATAATGTATATATACATTATATATACTGTATATATACAGTATATATACATTATATATACTGTATATATACAGTATATATATTATATACAATTATATATACAGTATAATTTTAATGCTTAAATAAGCATTAAAATTTCATGAGGAAAATGTTCAATTAAGAAGAACATGTCTAAAAAACCTCCATAATGGGTTGATAATGAAGAAGCAGCAAAAAAGATTCAGAAACGTAGATTTAATGTAACAGAAATAAATAAAAGAAAATGTTAAAGAAACAATTGGGCCCAAAATGGACTCACTCATGTGAAGCCTCTTTTTCCAAACCAAAATATAATATCTTACTTAATTATATTTTCAGCCTCCTCCTCAAATGTAATCCTGACCAGTCCCTGTCCCTCTGCCTTCCACCATGGGAGGGTAGCTTTGCCTGAAACAATCTTTTGCTCCTTTCTTCTTCTTTTTTTTTTTCACACTTTTTTTTTTTAAGGATTTATTTATTTATGCATACAAGAGCTGGGGTACAGGCCAGAAATGCAGGGGTGAGAGGATTCACCAGAGACAGAGTGGGGAACAGAACAGGCAGATCGACCGAAGTACACTGTTGAGGGGAGCAGCGGGCGAGTCAGGAGAGGTCTGCTGTGCCATGTGGGTTGCTCCCTGGCCAGCCGGGGATTGAACTCGTGCTGCAGAGGCTGCAGATTGCTTCATAGTGCGGTGCCTAATGCCTTGCACCACCAGGGAGGCCCGCACCTTTCTTCTTGCTAAATGCACTGCTGCCCAATTTATTAATAAAGCTTTTTACTCAGATGAGTTTTGTTTTATCTTTTTTAACAAAGTCTAAGTCATAATGAAGAAGATGAATATTATAATTGCTAACTTCCAGTAGTGTCCTCTATGTTCCTTGCTTCCTGGTATTCTTACTCCTTGAGTTTCCTTGAATAGCGTTGACCTATGAATTGTATGGGATATTGTGTGTAACTGTGTGTGACTTCTAAGGCCTGGTAATAAGAGATATTTTGGCTTCTACCTTGCTCTTTTAGATTGCCTACTTTGAGGGAGCTAGTTACCATGTTGTGAGAACACTCAAGAAGCCTTGTGAAGATTTACACAGGGTAAGACTGATATCTTCTTCTAGCAACCAGTACTAATGTTACAGGGCAACCCTGATATGAAATGTCTTGCCTGGCTGTGGGTCCTCACCCATGTGCTTAAAAGGGCTTATAATAAGACTCAACTGCAGGCACACACAAAAAGGTTAATAAAGGGTTTATTTACAAAAGAAGGGGAAATGAAGAAATGAATAACTCACGGAGAAAGAGAATAATTCAGGGATAATGATTCCTCCTAGCTGGAATCCCAATAGAACACTGAGAGCCAGCGAAAAACAAGAGAGCCCCCAAAGCCCACGTGTCTGGTTATATACCAAAACTGGCTGCTTAACTCCTCCCTCAGTTCGCACAATCCTCCCTTCAGTGATGATGACATTATGGGATTTGTAGTTCTTGGTGTCTTGGATCTCTTTGGTCTGGAGTTGGGGGTGGAGTCCTTAAAATCTGTGTTTGTGGAGTTCATTCAGGGCATCTTTTCCCCCCAACACTAAATTGCCAGCCATGTGGGTAAGCTCACCCGAAAGTTGATCTCTCATCCCCAAACAAGATGTCAGATGATGGCAGCCTCAGCTGACATTTTGTAACCTCATGAAAAACTCTGAGATTGAATCATCCAGCTATACTATTCTCAAATTTCTGATCCTTGGGATCTGTAAAAAATAGTATTTATTGTTCCTTTATATCTTTGTTTTAGTGGTTTAAGCTACTAAATTTTGGGATCATTATTATGCAGTAGTATAAAACAGATAAGATTGTGGTACAAATAAGGCGCTATGCAGTGGTAACTTCCAACCATCTTGGGGGCATTTTGAAAGCTTGAGAGACTGTGCAGGTAAAAGAAATTGTGAGTTAATGGGATAGAAATTGCCCTAAGTCCTACTTGAGGAAGTGGGCTAAATCATGAACCTGCTAACCTTGTCCAATTTGGCCCACCACCCTGACCATAATGCACTGTGTTTGACCAAAAAGGGTTAGATCCTCACTAATGATTATCTCACAGTGCCCTGGAAGGAGAGGGCCAAGAGCCCGCATGTACAATTGGAAGCTTATCTGTCTGCAGAATGCCCTGGCACAGCCCAATCCAGAATAAGCTATCAACCTGCTCACTGCCCTGCTTTTTTGACCTACCCTTTAAATATTTCCTCCTAACTCCCTCCATGTGTTAGGGGGAAATGATGTCCTGAGCTCATTCCATACATGGAGTCAGACTAAATTCTCCTTTCCTGGCACTGATGTACAAGCCGCTAATAAATTCTTGCCTGAAGCAGCACTCTCTGGTGAATTCTTTCTCCAGAGAGCAAAGGACCCACTCTTGAGTCAGGGTCCATAACACTTGGAGGCAGTAGAATATGAACTGAGTTTTATAGGATGAATTGGAAGGATGTATATAGGAGAGAGGTATTCAAAGTAGAAAGAACTCACAAACAAAGGCAGAGAGGCATAACTGTGTCCTAGACTCTTAAGTGATGAGAGACTAGGACTCCAGTAAATAAACCCTAATAGCTTTTTATTTAGAATCAATTTAGTAAGAATTATCCTTAAGTCTTTTCTATACTTAAAACTCTTCGGTGGCTCTTACTGCCTTATATCAAGTCTAAACACCTAAGTATCTGACCTGATCATTTTTTTCCCAGTCTTAGCTGTTGTCACTTCTAGCTTTCTTCCTATTTCCTTTCAATACTCATTATCAGAACTCAACCTGTGAGTCATTTCTTTCAATAATTTTTTTTATTCCTCCCCCCAGCAGATGCAATCTGGGTTAGGTATTCTTCCTATATGTTCCCATTAAAACTCTATATTCCCTATGATAGCATTTATCTCTGAACTGAACTGTTTACCAATTATTTGTCAATCCCTTCACCTCCTGCTATTGAAAATGTTCAAGAATCAAAACAATGTCCATCTTTTTCTCCAGTGTATCCTAGCGCATTTGATTCTCTATTGTATCCTAGTTTGATAGCACATATGTAGGAGTCATTCAATAATATTGGGGTTTTTAAATTTTTTAAAAAGATTTATTTATTGATTTTTACATAGAAGAACTAGGGTGTAGACCAGAGGTGCAGGGTTGATGAGAGGATTCACCAGAGACAGAGTGGGAGCAGAACAGGCAGACTGACTGAAATACACTTCTGAGGTGTACAGCACGCAAGGCAAGAGAGGTCTGCTGCGCCATATGCAGGTTAGCTCCCTGGCGGGAGATGGAACTAAGGCCGCACTGGTGATAGTGCTGAGACTTGACCCCTAGGCCACCAGGAAGGCCCCATTCAATAATAGTTGCTGAAAAAAAAAAAATAAACTCTGATACGGCAGAATCTAAAGATGTAACTATGTCCTCTAGTTCTGGCATACAGAGTTTTTTGTCAAACTAAGGCAAGATGTTATTCTGACATAGAGCGTTAATGGAGGTGGAAGAACATGGAAATCTCTTTTCCCATAGTATATTGTTTAATCAGTCAGTCATTCATTTACTAATCATATTTATTGAGCATCTATTGTGGATCACACAGTGTGTGGTAGGTCGTTACTTCATGGCTCAGGTCTTGTGCTTCTTGTTTGTGCTTGTTTTCTGAAATGTTTTCTCCTAAACCTGATCAACTACATGAGATTATCCTTTGAATTAGTGTGCTGAGTAAGCACATTGCCCTTCCTAATGTGGATGGGGCAGCATCCAATCCACTGAAAGAACTCAATAAACAAAAAAGGCAGAGGAAGGGGGAAATCTCCCTACTGACTGCTTGACCTGGAATTTTCTGCTCTTGACTGGGAGTTACACCATCAGCCCTCTGGTTCTTAGAACTACACCATCAGTTTTCCTATATCCAGCTTACAGACAGCACATAATAGGACTTCTTAGACTCTATAATCACGAGTCAAACTCTTATAATAAATTATTTTTGTAATAAAAAATGTGTTTATATATGTACATATATGTTCTATTTCTCTGGAGAATTCTGACTAATAGAACTCCATCTTAATTTTTCAATCTACTAATATATGTATAATTTTATAGAGGATTACAAATAAAATATTTTCAAGTAAATTTTATTCTGATCAAAATCAAAAATTAATCAATTAAATTTTAAAATTGAAACAATACCATTTATGTTCACACAAAAAATTAAATACTTAGATGTAAATTTAGTAAAATATGTACAAAATTCATATGATGAAAATTACAAAATTCTATGAAAGAAAATAAAGAGTAATAAATGGAAAGATGCTCCTACAAGGATAGGAAGATTCCATATTGTCAAGATATTAGTTCTTCCCAAGTTGATCTACAGATATAACACAAAGCCAATCAAAATTCCAGTAAGCAGTTTTGTAGATATCAACAAACTGATTCTAAAGTTTCTGTGGAGAGGCAAAAGACCCAGAATAGTCAACACAATATTGAAGGAGAAGAACAAAGTCTAGAACTGACAAGATACCAGCTCACCTTCAAGATTTACTATAAAGCTACAGGAATAAAGACATTGTGGTTTTGGTGAAATAATAGACAAATGGATCAATAGAACAGACTGGCCCAGAAGTAGACCTGTACAAATATTTTTTTTTTCATATATACCAACAGAATCAACTGTTTGACAAACGAGCAAAGGTGTTTCAATGTAAAAAATATAGTCTTTCTAACAAATACTACTAAAACAAATGAACATCCTCATGGGGACAAAAAAGAAATCTAGATACAGAGCATATAACTTTCACAAAAATAAACCCAAATGGACCATAGACCTAAACGTAAATATGAACTCATAGAAGATAACATAGAAGAAAATCTTGGTGATCTTGAATTTGTACTAAACTTTTACATAGCACCCCAAAAGCACAATCCATGAAAGAAAAAATTAGTTAGTTGGACTTAATTTAAATTAAAAATTTCTGCTCTGTGAAAGATAAGCCACAGATGAAAAGAGGTTCACCATCATATGTCACCAAGAAATAGCAAAATATAGCAGTGAATTACCACGACACGCCTGTTCAAATAGAAAAAATTTCAAGTACCTGCAATATTAAATGCTGACCAGAACATGGAGTAACAATAACAAAATAGGACTGATGCTTTGGAAGATAGTATGACATTTCTTACAAAAGTGAACATGCTTTTTCAATGTGATTGAGCATCTGTGCTTCTTGGTATTTACCCAAATAGGTTAAAAACTCATGTCCACATAAAAACCTGCACATGGATGTTAATAGCAGCCATGTGCGTAATTGCCAAAATTCAGAGTAACTGAGATGTTCTTCAATACATGAATAAGTAAACTGTGGTACATCCACACAATGGAATATTATTCCATGATAAAAAGAAGTGAGCCATCATGCCATTAAAAACTAAATGAATGTTGCTAAGTGTAAGAAGTCAATCTGAAAAGCTACATACTGTCTGATCCCAACTATATTACCCTCAAATCTTGACATTTATTGCAAATATAAGTTTTACATTCACTTATAAAGGCAGGCTTCATACTAAAACAATTTGAAAGCATCACAATCCTTACCTCCTTATAGTGAGGAAGAAAAACAAAGTGAGTACATATACTCGGATAAACAGTACTGATAGACTTTCTTGATGCAGGGTTACCACAATCCTTCAATTTGCAAAAAGGCAGTTATCTGTGAAGATGAATTAATGAAGTACAGTAAAGTAAGGTATGCCTGTATATAGATACCTTCTATGGTTACATCCACATTTTAGAGAACTCAATAAGAGAAAAATAATGTATTTGCCTAGATGTTTATTATTTATGTTTCTCTGCATGTTCTGAATTTCCTTCGCTTCGTTTTCATCCTATCTGGAAAACTTTGACAGTTTTTTTAAAGAGTAATTCTATTACCCAGCACTCGTGTCCAACGGTTCTTTGCTTCACTGCCAGGTGCAAATCATGAGCAGACCAGCAGTAGCAAGTGACAGGTTTACGGAGAACTATTCCATAGACAGAGTAGGTCTGCCTCCGGAGAACGGGCCTTGTGTTTCCTGTGGGTAGGCTCACTTATCTTGCTGGGGAGGGGAAAGGAGGCAGTGCTATGCTAATTTGGGGGTGTTTCTTTTCATCAGAAAAGGGAACGTTTTTTTCTGGGGCTTGGGGTGCTTCTCCTTTTTCTACCTTTTTTTGAAGGTATCCTGTTCTTTCTCGAAACCGGGAGTATTTTCTGGGGAATGGGTGCCTTTAGGGTCAGGGTGGGGAGCCATCTTCTTTCTGGAGACTGGGGTTTCAGTAGCAGTTAACTTCTCCAGAGTGTCAGCAGATGTGTAATTTATTGAGTGGTTTCTATTGGCCAGATATTGTTCTAGTCACTTAACTTGTATTAACTTAAGTCCTCTCAACTCATTAAGCTAGTTACTATTTTTATCATCCTTAATGTACTGAGGAGGACATTGATGCATAGTTTCAGCCAAGGCAATCTAATTCCAGACTTTATGCCCTTAGCCCTTATGCTTTATTACCTCTTGCGGCAGTAAAACACAACAGACAAATCTGTCACTAATTATAGAGAGCAACAACAACGAAAACTAATAATAGAGAACAAACTTTTTATGGTTTTAGTCTTTCACAAAGTCTTTTCTTTTTTTAAAGATTTATTTATTTATTTATTTATACAAGAACTGGGGTACAGGCCAGATGTGCAGGAGGGTGAGAGGATTCACCAGAGATAGAACAGGGAACAGAACAGGCAGACTGACAAAATACACTGCTGAGGAGAGCAGCGGGCGTGACAGGAGAGGTCTGCTACGCCATGTGGGACCCTTGCCGGCCGGCCGGGATTGAACCAGTGCTGCAGAGGCTGCAGACAGCTTTACAGCCCAGCGGTCAACTGCCTGTGCCACCAGGGAAGGCCCACACAAAGCCTTTCTTCATAGTATTTAATCAGCTAATCAAGAATCTTTGTTTTCTTCACTAGGTTCAAATACTTGGTGTAGGTAATTGTTTCTTGTTATACTCTAATTTCTTTTTTTAAAATATTTTTTTTATGCGTACAAGAACTGGGGTACAGGTCAGAGATGTGGGGGGGGGGTGAGAGAATTCACCAGAGACAGAGTGGGGAGCAGAACAGGCAGATCTATTTAACTACACTGCTGAGGGGAGCAGTGGGTGAGACAGGAGAGGTCTGCTGCGCCATGTGGGTAGCTCCCTGGCCGGTTGGGGATCGAACTCATGCTGCAGAGGCTGCAGACAGCTCCACAGGCTGCATACCAACTCCCTGCATTACCAGGGAGGCCCTATACTCTAATTTCTTTCTGAAAGGATCCGCCACCAGTGTGAGTCCCTGAGCAAGGGACACTAAGAGGAACAAATGAGAACTGGTAACATCAAAATAACTAGAATTGGTTAAAGCATCAAAATAATTCAAAAGAGTATATATGAAATATCTGTTTTATGTAATATTCCCCGGCACTTAAAACTAGACATTATAACTGTTTGGCAAATCCTTTATTTATATAAGTAGAAAGTGATTAAACTAGTTCCAACAAATTTTACTATACTTTGGATAGAGGATTAATGGATTTTCTTTCTTAGAAATCCCTTCAGAAGAATTAACCTAGTTTACAATAGAAAAGCTTATAAAATTGCAACCAAAAGTACCTGTTTCAAGTATTCATCTCTTAACAACAACTTAGTTCAGTGCCTGGCATGTCATAGATATTCAGTAAATAGTTTTTTTTTTTCCTTTTAAAGATTTATTTCTTTATGCATACAAGAACTGGGGTATAGGCCAGAGGTGCCGGGGGAGTTGGGGGGGGGGCGGTGAGAGGATTCACCAGAGACAGAATGGGGAACAGAACGGGCAGATTGACTGAAAATACTGCTGAGGGGAGCAGCAGGTGAGACAGGAGAGGTCTGCTGCGCCATGTGGGCAACTCCCTGGCCAGCTGGGGATCAAACTCGTGCTGCAGAGGCTGCGGACAGCTTCGCAGTGCTGTGTTTAACCCTTTGCACCACCAGGGAGGCCCTCTTTATTTATTTATTTATTTATTCATTCATTCATTCGTTCATTCATTCATTCATTTATTTTTGCACAGAAGAACTGGGGTGCAGACCAGAGGTACGCGGGGAAGGGAGGCATGAGAGGACTCACCAGAGTCAGAGTGGGGAGCAGAACAGGCAGATATACTGAAATACACTACTGGGGAGAGCAGCGGGCAAGACAGGAGAGGTCTGCTGTGCAATATCTGGGTTAGCTCCCTGGCCAGAGATCGAACTTAGGCCATAGCAGTGAGAGCACTGAGACCTAACCTCTAGGCCACCAGGAAGGCACTGAATGTTAAAGTAAGACATAGACATGCTATTTTGCTTCTCTTTTAATTTATGTCTCTGAAAAATGTGCCTGATGCCATTATCACATCTAAGAAAGTGAACAATAATTATTTGGTATTTTCTTATATCTGTTTCAAAACCAAACTTTCCCAGTTGGCTCACAGATGTCTTATTCAGATGGTCTACATGGTCCATATAGGGGATGTGAATATCATGACACTGAAGTTTCTTTTAATTTAGAGCAGCCCCTTGCTCACAATACAAATCACTTGCCATTCTTATAAGAATTCAGTTGTCCAATAGAATGTTGCATATTCTGTATTTGTAAGTTTATTCCCTTGAGTGTCATTTAACTTGTTCTTCACCCTCAGTATTTCCCATAGTGGTTGTTGGTCCTCTAGATTCGATTAGATCACAGATTATCTTTTTTTTTTTTTTTCCCAGAAACACTTCTTGGTGCTTTGTGCCTCATACTACATGATGTTGAAACACCTACAATATCTGGTTACCTCACTTTTAGTAATGCTAAGATTTATTAATGATTCAGGTGCTGACAACTTAAGCCTTCCTTTTCTTCTAATGGTTTCACACACCAATGATCATTACCTGAACTAATTATAGTATTTCATGTGGAGTTACAAAGGGTAGTTTTCTAATCCTTCCATTCATGAAGAGCCACAGATCTCCTCCCCTACTTCATATCTCTGGGCAAACGTTCTTCCATTACCCTGGCAGGAAACTGGCGGTTTGTTCTCTGGAGAGGGTGAAGTAGGGGTTCTCTGGCCTGGGTGTTATCCGTTAAAATTGAGGGTATGCCTCAGTTGATGTTTTGTGAATGCTTGCAAATAGAATACTGGGATTGTCAACATTTTCCCCAACCACATGACTACAAGAGATTAGGTATTTTTCTTTTGAGGAATCTGATCAAGCCAAGAGAAAGCACTTAAGATACTGACTTTTGGGTTTCCCAGTAGCAGAGGCATAACATCCTACAATTGTACCTCACATTTACTAAGCCCCCTACTTATGTGCTCATTGTGTCCAGTTGGATTTTTAAGACCTCACCCTCAAACATGAGCAGAAAACTAAAGATTGCCTTCCCTCTGAAAAAAAACTTCTAAGATTTAACAAAAATGGAATTGGAAGAAAACAGTGGCTATAGACAGAACAATTTCAAGGTAAGCAAACAAAACCCTATTATTATTATTATTTTGAAAGAGTTAAGAAAATATATGGCATCAATACAATAGCAGTAAGTACTATAAAAAACAAAGTGTTAGCAAAAAAGAGCTCTTGGAAGTTAAAAAAGTATGTTAGCAGAAATTAAAAGTCAATGAAAGGATTGGAAAGTAACATTAAGAAAATCTTCCAGCCACATGGCCAAAAGGCAAGAGGTAGAATATTGAGAGGGAAGGTAAGACACTCAGATTAGTGACCCTCAGATCTATATTGTAAATTGTTTTTTTAACAGATTGAAATGCCAAGTCATAGACTTTAAATTTTAACTAACACTGAGAACTGTTTATCCATAACTTCTAAGAGATTTAAGAATTAGTGTCCTCACAGTTTACAGAAATCTGTCTCCAGAATTTTGCTAAGTCTGTATTGCTTCAAGTCCAGTGTCTATTCTAAAACTCACATACGGGTGGTTGAAATTGTCAAAATTTTTCAAGAAGGATATTTTCTCACTAGTGTTACCTAGAATTACTCATTATTTTCTATTGCTTTTCAGTGCTACCTTGTTTTCACATCTAATTTTATTTGTATTTTTTAAAAGATTTATTTATTTATGCATGCCAGAACTGGGGTACAGGCCAGAGGTGTGGGGGTTGAGAGGATTCACTAGAGACAGAGTGGGGAACAGAACAGGCAGATTGACTGAAGTACACTGCTGAGGGGAGCAGCGGGCGAGTCAGGAGAGGTCAGCTGCGCCATGTGGGTTGCTCCCTGGCCGGGGATTGAACTCATGCTGCAGTGGCTGCAGACAGCCTCATAGGTTGCGTCTCAATTCCTTGTACCACCAGAGAGGCCCTCACATCTAAGTTTAAATTGTTGTGGACCACAGGAAATAGAAATTTGAGAACTACTAATCTTAATATAAAACACAGGCCTATCATTTTATAGCAAAAGAAAATTAAAATTTAAGCTAATAAATATAATTTTTAGGGTACCAAACAGTTGGTAAGCTAGTTCTCTTTACCTCTACTATAAAATATATACATTAGACTATTTATAGTTTACTATATAAAGAAAATATGACTAATTTGCTGTTTAACCATGTATACATGTGAATACCTATTAAAAAGAATTCAACAGATAGAATTTTTGATTTCTATTTTGAAATTTAATGAGCATATGATTAAAAAAAAGCAAAATGTACAAGAATGCACAATGAAAAATAACTCCCCATGACTCCTGTGCCCTAGCCATCTTAACTCCCTCTCTTCCTAAAGAGAGTAACTCCAGTTTATTATGCATCTTTCTAGATATATGGGATGAAACAAAGTTCCATTGAGGCAGGGCATGGAGGGAATAAGACAAACACTACAGACACATATCTGGATCAATCACATCTAAGTTAAAAAGACAATACAATGGTAAAGATTTTAGTTGTTTGTGAGAACAGTATCAGCAAAGCTGCAAGGTGGTTCATCACAAGAGGTAGCATCTCAGCCAAAGAAAAAAAGTCTATAATACAGTAGTTTAGTATTTATAAAAGGCAATATTGTATCAATATATAAAATTTTCAGTAAATGACTCAAAACTTAGGTTTTATAACTTGTCAGACTTAAATACACAATTTCATAAGTTATTACCATATGTACCTTATATGAACATGATCTAGGACATTGTTTTCAACTATTCTTTTACCGTTCAAAATATAAAACAAATTCAAGTTTTACTTTAAAATAGAATTTATTGATACCATGGTGAATTTAATACATTAAAAATTTGTCTTTCTTGGCAATATTGGCACATAAGGAAGAGTTGTAACGCACTGCTAAATTAAAACCTCAAAAAATTTTAAACTTTAAATCCTGTTCCATAAAAAAAATTAAAGCTTAGTAGTGTTATAAAAGTATTTACACTAACTTACACATCAAAGTGTTAAAAAAAAATCCCACACTCAAACCAATTATCTAGGAAGTAAAAGTTCAACCATATATATTAAAGGTTCTCAATTGAATAAAATACAACAGAAGAAATAAAAAAGGCAAAATCTACCTAATTTACATTGACTGACACTGGGAGAGCTACAGGCTAATGAGATAATATTTACATATTTTTAAAAATGTATTTTTGAAAAGAATTAAAGTTGCTTAAAGTACTTCTAATACTTAAAGAAACACATTAAGTATTCTACACTGTGTTCTTTTAGTTGCCTTTAATTGGCAATAATGCAGAAATACTCTGAAAATTATTTGAAAAAATTTTTCTCCCGTGAACATTTTCATAGATTCAAAGACTGTCTTCAACTATGGAAACATTTAATGAGAAAATTGACATAGTTTTTACTATACTATGACATGTATACTACTGTCATTGTTTAGCTGAAAAGTCAGTAATCCAAATTGTGAGCAGTACAATAGAGAGTCAAATTTCAAAAGGTTCAGTCATTTGATTCAGCTCTCTTGACTTTAGGGTATACTTCTTCTAGGAAGCATAAAGTGATTTATAGTCAGTATTTTAATTTGATTTGCATTACCATTCACAACCCCCTTAAAATTATCCTCTGAGCTAGAGCACTGAATATACATTTTTTTTAAACTGTAGAATTTGTTATTTAGCATCACCTTGAATACACATTAAGCCTTCTTCCTTGTTAATGGGAAAATAATAAAGCTGTTTGGACTAGTACCTTCTGCTAATTTGTAACTCCTATGCTTTTGAAATATTATTTGCTGAGATCATGCTGAAATTGTAGAGGCTAGATTTAAAGTATTTTTTTAGTCAAATGTAAAGACAGTTTTTGCTTATTCCTAAACAGCAAAGGAAAACTGAAAAGTTCCTTTGTATTTACTATAAATGTACAATTTCACCAAAAATGTACATGGACATGTAACTAAAATCTATGAATGCCAATAGCAGATGACCTTCCTTCAAAAGAGAAATAAATCGCAGATTCTACTAATAATGTATTGCTAATTTTTTAAAAAAAAATCTACAAACTAGCAGAAAATATTAGAAATTTAAGGTCTTTCCCACAAACTATCTTTAGTTTTGCTGAAGTAAAAATCATCTATATTACAATTAGAGATATTTCACACTTATAAGCTACAAAATTGTTCAGAGGGAATTTCTAATTTCTAAGTAAGTAATCATACAATATATCTTACTGTTTCAAAGACATGTTTAGGATAAAAACCTCTCTTTCCCTTACAGTTATTGGTATTGGGAGGACAGGAGAGGAAAAGATGATAGTCTTTTAAAGCCAAATTTTCATCTCTTCTATCTTCTGCTCAGTTTGATTCTCAAAATATTTTTGTACTTTGTTAGAATCTCTCTAAATTTTTTTAGAGCAATCTCTCTAGATTGCTAGAATAATTATTTAAGTACAATATAAAGTCGATACTGAGAATGGAGAAACTTAAGAAGTTTCATCTTTTATTTCTTATTTCTATTTAATGGCGTACTAGAACAACTTTTACCTCCTTGATAACTAATGGCTGGAAAAAGTGGAGTTTTATGAAAAAACTCAAGATTTCAGATTTTAGATGTAAAATTTTCTTTAACAGTCTTCATAAACTGTGGTTGAAGCTTTTGAACATCATAAAGCTGGGGTGAGAATGCAGATAATTTTACTAAAAAAGCTGTATTTTGGCAAATATTTTGACATTACAAATGAAAATATAGTTGGAGCTTTAAAATGGCACTTAATCTGTTCTTCACGCTACGAGAACCTGCCAAATAAATTAATTCTTTGGAAAAATTCAGACTTGGTATTCTAGAGGCAAAATTAAGATCAACCTTTTTTTTGCCCATCACATACCTGTCACTGCCACAAACCAAAGGACCTACAAATGTATTAAATGGAAAGAGAGGTTATTAAGGGAGATTTTCTATCTGTAATTTACTCAGCAAAAGTTAACAATTAAACACAAAGCATCAGTTCCCTCAAAAGCTAAATTTAGTTCAAACATCAAAGGTCTGATCCATTTAAAAGCAAGAGTTTTATCTCTTAATCAGCTGAACTGGACTTAAAATGAAGGATCATAGATTTGTTCACATATTTGTACATTATTTACAGAGAAATGCAAAATCCTATTGCCTTTGCAATCACTTGTCATTTGGGAATTTCTTAGAAAAAAAAAATGGACCTCTGACACTCAGAAGAATGTTCAAGGCCATATCTGAGATTTGGCAAACAGTGAGAAAGATTTTTCAGTTGGCAGGTGCCACAGTGATGAATTGGTCTAATCTACCTATTTTATAAATAAGAGAATGGAGATACTTGTATCTGCAGCTAAGACAGTCTACTCAAACTCTTGTAATTAAACTAAGTGTCCACTCTTTTGTCTCCACTAATTTCCTTTGAAGCACACTTTATAAATCAACTACTCCACCAAAATTAAAAGGCTAGCAGTGGTTTCTATGGGGAAAGGAGCTTGTTAGGGATATTACACCTCAAACAATAAACCATATGGATAAGCCAATATATAATTTGATAAAAAATGATTTTTACAAAATATACACGCTTTAACATAAAGAAAAAATTTAAATAGATCAGAAATACCGTAATGAAATTGAGTGTTAGTGTAAAATTTAAGCTATATCATCAAGGAAATAGACCACTGAAAACTGTAAATTTCAGTTTTTTTGTCCTTTTAATGACTAATTCTATTTATTATGTTTCTCTCTGCCTGGAAAAATATTCTAATATAACACATAGGCAGTAATTTAGGTTTTCAAGTTTTAAAAAGAATGGGATTTAAAAAAAAAACTATGCTACAAAAATAAGCACTTATATATATATTCCCAAATTATATATTTCTAATGTCTGAAGTAATAAAAGGTTGAAAATTTCACTGTTGAACTACCTTCTTACATATGATCTTGAAGTTATTTCTACAGAATATAAAGTTTATGTAATTCTTTACAGTAAAATCTCTCAGAAAAGTAATTTGACAGAAATTTATCTATCACTAGAGTTGAAAGAAAGATTTCAGTAAGAAAAGTACAGGGGTGGGTCAAGTTTTTTTTTAGAAAAATATCCTGTATATAATACATCTTGGAAATTACACATGCTTTTATTTAATGTGAAGGCACAACTTTAACAAGTTAAAAGCAAATGTATTTTAATTACTTATGTCATTGTCAGTACCAGCTCATAAAAATATATATTTGCAAGCATGTAATCGAACATTCTTTCAGATTGTCAGTTCAAAATTCAATCTAAAAAGTCCAACACTATTTCTGGAAATCCAACTGACACATTATTGCAGATCCACATAATATTATTATGGCTGGACAATCTGTTCGCCAGAAGTCACGGGGTTTTCTTCGTTTGTTGCATAGTCCGAATGGTTCATCACCTAGGCATAAATAAAAGATGTTAGGAAACGCAAATTTTCAACTTGTCCTTACTATTCACTAATTTGGAAAAAAAAAGTGTACAAAAAAAGACAGAATGCTACACAGAACTGAGCAATATACTAGCTCAATAGCCTATGCTCCTAAGGATATGGTCAGTATGACAATGACCTTTCAGGAAGCCTAATCGTTTGATAACTGCTTTCTCTGGGTCTTACACTATCTCCATTTCCCAATATGAACACTGCCCTTCATGGCAGTGATAACACACAAGAAGATGTTCCTGAGGCTTATTCCAGGACACAATTCCTTACACAATTCTAGAAAGGTGGCCTCTGAAATAGGGTCAGCGAGCCCAGCATTTACTGATAATTCTGCTTATTTATAACTGAACCAATCTCCACAAACAGTCTCATAAAACACTCATTAAAGCAGAGTACTGGAGAGCTACTAAAGCTGAAGCAGAGTTGTTCCAGTACCTCTGCATTCTGACTTGTCATTTACAGCTTGTGACTTCTAAAAATAATTAGAAGCACCAGTGACATTTAACAGAGAAAAATCCACTGTTCACCTGATAGCAACACACTGAAAGCTTAGCTCCCGCCCAGAGTAAAATATAGCCCATTGGAGGCTGCGGTATAACTCCACTGATTCACGTTTACGAACAAAAAAATTCCCTAAAATTTTTCTTAATTATTCTATATGCCAAAGTAATTATGCCACTGCTTGATTTTCTCTAGAGAGAAAATAACACCTTTACTTACTCTGTACTTACTAGAATTAAGACTGAATAAAATCAAATAAATGGAACTGAATACTTCGGTTTTGAAGCAATCCAGATAATAATTAATAAACAATAACTATTCCTAAGTAGCTACAGAAAATAAGATATAATTGAGGTTTCCAAATTTGCAGGTTTACTGAAATCCTATTGAAACACTACTTCTTTTTGGATCAGAGAAATTTAAAGAAAGGAATGAAAGACTCCAAGTAAAATATTAAAATACTTCTCTCATTTTTTTAAAAAAGTTTTTGCTTGCCTTCTTATTTCCCTTTTCTTTTTTTCAAGATTTATTTATTTACGCATAAAGAATTGTGTTGCAGGCCAGAGGTGTGGGGGATGAGAGGATTCACCAGAGACAGAGGGGGGAACAGAACAGGCAGACTGACTGAAATACACTGCTGAGGGGAACAGCAGGCGAGACAGGAGAGGTCTGCTGTGCCATGTGGGTCACCTCCCTGGCCGGGGATCAAACTTGTGCTGCAGTGGCTGTGGAGAGCTTCACAGTGATGACACTGTTAAGTGATGACACTTAACCTCTGTGCCACTAGGAAGGCCCCAAAATATTAAAATACTTCTATGAAGTCTCTAAGTTACTAGCAACAATTTGCCCTTTGAAAACAGCATTTTAAAAGTCTACGGTGGAAAGCTGTTTTTTATCACCATTTTCTTGCACTCAACTTTAGTAACAGGCATTGGAATAAACCAAGTAATTAATCATGGAAACAAATGTGCTATCACCTTAGATTCTGCCTTTAGTTAACTTACTTGTTTTATACTCGATTATTTCAAAACTATAGCAAAAGTTTTGGTACTTTAAAAAATTACAAAGAAAGATTAAAACATTTTAAAAGTGTCTCACTTTACAAAACCTTATTAACAATTTTGGTAATTTTATGAGGGCTCCTAAAACAATCAAGAAGCTTACATACACATGCACACATGAGATTAAAAGTCAGTGGATTAAGGACTGACCATTATAGTTGCTTTGCATGAAGAATTTCAATAACATTAATTAAGGATTTACAGTATATAAAACACCTTATCGATAAATGGGAAAGATGACCTAATTTCATTTGCAAAACTTTTGGAAATCTGTTTGGAGAAGGCAGATTTGAAGTTGAAGTTACATTAGGTATATTCTAGAATTGCGATGCTATGGAGATAAAGGAGGGACAGAGGAAGGAAAGGTCTCTATTAGTCTAAGAGAGAAACCAGTAACTTCCTGAGGGTGTCTTCAGCATTGACTCTCAGGTCTATCCTATACTGGCTCCAAGCCTTGTCTTCCTCTGTTTCACTAGGCTTGTTGAGGTTCCCTGTCTTTCTTTAGCAGTCTCTGCCTAGCATTGCCTGATTTCAGCACCAACTGCCTCACAACGTCCTAGGTTAACCCACTTCAGTGGATTTTAGATACTTCTACTTGCCTGTATTTTATTTTATGGGTGAAGAGACAGTTTCAGCAGATTAAGAAATTTACCAAAACTGATACCAAAGCCACAAATGACAACATTCAAGCTAAATTAATTTTGACTTTGAAGACAAGACCATGAGAAGATTTTCACAATAAGAGGGTGTAATATTGTGAAGGTATTACATTCTGTAACTGCTAAAAATGTGAGGTTTCCGAAAGCATAAGACTCTCTCCTGGAAGCAGTTAGCTGTGATCACATAGCTACTAACAAAATCAGAATTCAAATTTAGGCAGTCTGACACCAGACTCCATGTTTTTATTACTATGTGCTATTTTATATTCAAAGTGTCTTTACTAAAACAATTATGACAACACTACAAAATGAAAAGTGTACAACCAAAGGTGCCCCACCTTTTCAGACACTTCTAATTGGATTTTCTTACACTCTAACTGCCTTATTTAGCTACTATGCTATGTGAGATCCTTGGAGTTCACCCTTCTGAGGCTATGTATTATTGCTTTGTGTTCAGCTACATGATTTTTCCCTTTAGGGGTAGCTGCTATGAAGAACTGACTTTTTTTCAAGATTACAATTTTTACAAATCAAACTTGGGAGGCCTCCCTGGTGGCGCAGGGGTTAAAGACAATGTTATCAAGTTATTGCCAGCCACTGTAGCTTGAGTCTGATCCCTGGCCAGCCACATGGCACAGCAGACCTCTCTTATCTCCCCGCTGCTCCCCTCAGCAGTGCATTTCAGTAGATCTGCCTGTTCTGCTCCCTACTCTTTCTGGTAAATCCTCTCACTCCCCTGCACCTCTGGTTTACACCCCAGTTCTTGTATGCATAAAAAAATAAATCTTTAAAAAAATAAAAATTGAACTTGGTCTGTCCAAGGCAAAGTGTCTATTCATAAGGAATATAAGTAGATTCCTTGGTTGAATTCCCTCCTTACCTACCATCCCTTTTCACCTCAATAAACATTATGGAAGAAAAAGGAGAGATGCTACAATAAACCAGAGAAAAAACAAGCTGTAGAGTATTTCCAAAGAAACACAATGTTACTGTTTTACATATACTATATCTATAAATATTCAATTATTTCTAGGGTGAATTGGCATAAAAAGGTCTGGAAGCTCCACATAAATGGTTTAAAGTAGCTGCCACTTAAGGGGTGGGGAAAGGAGAGGGAAGAATGTTTACTAAACAGCCTTTCATGTTTATTTTAGACTCTTGCATTGCATGCTTAAAAATACATGATGCAGAAAAATAATTAAAGTAAAAACAGAATTGGAATTTCACATTAGTTTTGTCCAAATTTTAAAATCATTTCTGGATAATACTCTAAAAACAAATTACTAGAAAAAAAAATGGTAAAGTATTGGTACATGCCTATGAGAGAATATTATACAGATATTAAAATGATTTTTACAGGGAATTAACAATGAAATAACACAACTATGCAGTGGACAAAGTAGAGATTTCTTTAGCATATGTCATCATCCACCCACCTATCCAATCATCTAGGAAGGCATGAAAAGAAAACTCATTTACAGCTTAAAAGTGGGTTTCTCTAGAATTTTGGGTGGACTTAATTTATTTTGCACTTTGCTACACTTTTAAACTTCTTTGTAATAAGTACATATTTTCTTAAAAGGCTGTATTAAAGGGAAAGGAAAAATTCATAAGTAAAAAAGTTGGCGATGAGGATACCAAGAAACATGGTTAATTCTGTAAAATTACACTGGTGCTTTTATGAAGTCACAAATTTAAATTCTAAACTAAAGATGTAAAGCTAATTCTAAACAAATTTTCACTGCTGCTTGTCTTCTTTGTCCTGATTTGCCTCATAATCAATCAGATAAGTGCCACTGTTAGTAGAAACCTCTTACTCACAGTTCTGTCTTGAGTCTTTTCTTCTCTCTCCACGTTCTCACTCATTGAGTATACAGATGACACTCCCATATTTCAATCTCTAACTAGGTCTGTCTCCTGTACATGAGGTAATACTATTTAACTGCCTATTATTTCTCTCCTCTTGGTAGTTCTTTAGGTACTTTGAAATGTCATCATCTTCATCTCAGTGAATGGTATGACCACTCACTCACTCAGTTATCCAACCAGAACTCCTGGACCTCATTTTCTTCTCTCCTTACACTGAACTCATCACCAGATCCCATCAATGAAACCTCTAAATCTCTGTTGACTTTGTCCACTTCTCTCAAATTCACTTCTTTACTAATTCTGGCTACTAATGCTTCTCATTGTAATAGTTATCTCCAGTTTTGCTTCCTCCTTCAGTCCATTTTTCTAGAGTTCTTTAAAACCCGTTGGTCTCCAGTGTTCTTAGGACAGACTCCAAACTCTTTAATGTGGTTTGCAAGACTCTTACCCTTGCTTCCTTCTCCAGTTTCACCCTAAACTTTGCTTATGTGCCATGTTCTCTTCCCTCTTTGAATGCCTGATTACCTCAATATTGAACACATGGCTCAGTCTTAAAATTTCAATGTAAACTTCTCATTCTTTAAGAAGCCTTCCCCAAATCACTTTTCACTAATGGAAACTACAAGCACTCAGTGTCCCACCTCTAGCTTTCATGACACCCTGCCATAATTAATACACTTATTTATTTTTTAAAGATTTGTTTATTTATACAAGAACGGGGGAATAGGCCAAAGGCGCGGGAGGGTGAGAGAATTCACCAGAGGCAAAGCGGGGAGCAGAACAGGCAGACGACCGAAAACACTGCTGAGGGGAGCAGCAGGAGAGGCAGGAAAGGTCTGCTACACCATGTGGATATCTCTCTGGCCGGCCAGGAATTGAACCTGTGCTGCAGAGGCTGCGGACAGCTCCACAGCATTGCGCTCAACCCACTGCGCCACTGGGGAGGTCCAACTAATACACTTATGACACTGTACTGTTAGTGACTCTATCTGTATCCCTCACTAGACTCTTAACTTTTGAGATGCCATCATAAGAATAGGCCTGTTTCTAACATTTTTTATCACCAGCACCTAAAGTATTACTGGGCTCATAGAACTGCTCAATAAAAGCTTACCAAATGAAGAAAACTAAGACTATTTAAAGCCTATTAGTAGAGTATGTGTTGGAAGACATACTTTTATTTTTCAAGATCTGTAAAAGTGAAAAAATCATTGTGGAAAAGTTACAAGCTGTTTTACTAGTGTATTCAAGGACCTTGTGGTAAGAAACTAATTCTATGCATATTAATATAAACAGAAATGGCAGACTAGGCAGGTAATATTTTCTCCAAATCGCAAAAAAATTACAAAAAAAAATGGACCAGTGTTTTTTCTAATTATAGTAGTCTAACTTAGTGTATTAATCACTTCTTCTTTTTTTTTTTTTTTTTTTTTTTTTATAGAGGCATGCTTTATTTATTTGTTTGCTGGTTTGTTTGTTTGTTTGTTTTGTTTATACATGCACTGGGTACAGTCAGAAGCGCGGGAGGGTGAGAGAATTCTCCAGAGCCAGAGCAGGGAGCAGAGCAGGCAGAAGGACCGAGGTACACTGCTGAGGGGAGCAGCGGGCGGCAGGAGAGGTCTGCGCGCCATGTGGGACCCTCCTCCGGTGGCCGGGGAGCAGCCGGGGATCGAACCGGCGCCGCAGAGGCCACGGGCAGCTTCGCAACCCAGCGCTCAACCGCTGCGCCACCGGGGAGGCCCTAATCACTTCTTCTTAAATCAAGTTAACACCACAGACAAATCACAAAATGAACATGAACTTTGAACTGTTTATCTACTAACAGAAGTGCAGGCACCCACCCAAAGTATCTCTTTTTGTTCATGTTAGCACTATCATGCATGTATAAGGGTTGCTGGAGGAGGGCTGTTTGTTTTAATAGGGCAAAAAGAGTTAACCACCACATGAAGGAATCAATGCCATGACCCTGACCTCTGGGGTTTCCCAACCCTCATTAATTTCAATGCAAACAAACTTTACTGGAATACCAAGAACATTTAGAAAAAGAAGAAAGGCATTTAGCTTCAATGAAGAAACAAAATAAAATACATTCTAGTATCAAGAATTTCTCTATTCTGGGAATTTTAAAGGAAGTTCAGTCTTGATCCACATAAAACTAAAATGAGTTTATTCATAGGTCCATTTATCTGCAAAACCTTAAGATTCTTTTAACTACAAATAACTAATATCAGTTTCTCAGTACTTATTTTAAAGAGAGTTTAATCTTTCATAGTCTGCTTTTGTGGATTTTGAAAACTCATGTTGAAATACTGTTCTGGCTTTCCCTGAGACTCTCCCACTGCTTCTTGGTAGTTTAGTTTGAGGAGTAGGGAATCGGATTACAGTGGGGATGGGAACTGATGATGCAGCAGGTGGACAGTAAGGGGACAGTAGTGGAAAAAACTTAGGACATCCTGACAGATAATTTTTTGGCACATAAAAACCACGCTACATAGATGGCAAAGTTAGTGAATTATGATATAAGGTAACTTGATAACTGAAATTTAAGAACATACCTGGTAGTTGCTACCTTGCCAGAACTTTTTCATTTCCTTGCGTCTCCAAGCAATAACTGAGGCAGTAATAAGTGTGCAAGGTACTAAATACAGGAGAGCAGGTTGCCCCTTTTTCATCAGCACCAGGACAACAAATGTCAGTACTGTGCCAACAGCATAGGCTATAAGAAGAATATCAGTCAGTCATTTGCACATGTTACCCAAGCTGGATTTTAATTTCCTCTTTGAAGTAGTTGTTTTAAAGTACTTCTGAGGACCTTTTTTTGCTCTGGCTTTCCTTAATTTCCTCATTTTCTTGCATAGTAATTAGGAGAGATATTCTACATAGCTTCTGAAGAATTTGGAACCTGGTTAATATTTCAATTATAATTAATCTAATCATTAATCATTGATAAAGATAAAATTCAAGAGAGTCGAAATTATCTGTCACCGTTAAGGATGCTGAATTGTTCCACTTTTTAGAATGCTGGAATGTATACATGTAGGGACAACTGATTCCTTTGAAACTCTTCCCAATATTGATTATATACTTCCTGGGCTTCTCAGCATCGTTTGATCTTAATGACTTAGGGTCTCATTAGGAACACAAAATTTAATCTACCTCATGATGAGGCAATAAAGAGCTAGGAAGTTTAAGTGAATTGCCCTAAATTACATAGCAGAATGGACATATACTCTGTTACCTCTGCCCTTTCAGTGAGTGTTATTTATTCTATCACCCTAACTGATCCTGGACTCTTAGAAAATACCATACTTAATGGGCTCAGACTGCTTTTCTTATTTCTTTAGAATTTTTTCTCATTTCACCTACTTAGCTGTTCTTTCTTGCTGTTAGGGTTCTTATTTTAACAATAAGTTAAAGAGTATTCTCTAACATACACTTTAACGCCATACTAGAATTGAAAAAACCTTGCTAGAACTGTATCTGAATGGTACTGGGACAGGCCCTTTACCTAAGAACTTTGGCATATGAATTTAGAGATACCTATTTGATATGTTCAAAGTATTTTTTTGCTTACTTCTTGTCTGCTTTCAATAACAGACATTCAGAACAAGTTATAATAACTACATCTGCTATCCCAGGTAAGATGTATTATAAATTCATTTATATAAATACAGTGTTTTTTAGAAATCAAGTATTATACAATTTATTGACTACATATGTGCCTGATGCTCTAATAAGCCTTTTATATGCAGGCCTACTGTATTCCTTTCACATGTAATTTCCCTATGATATATAAGTAGTAAACAATAATAATCCCTTTTTGATGGGAAAATAAAAACAACTTGTGTTACTAATTAATGGTGAAGAATTAGAATCCAGGACTCATTCTTCACGTCGACCATTTCCTTTAGACAATACAATTCAACATAACAAAAAGAAAAAACAAAAATGTACCTATTACGGAGGAAACATAGTATATAGACGAAGAACCAGTCTGAACATCAAATCTTCTACAGTATGCAATCAAAAGACCTAAAAGAACACATACAACATTATTTTCTTAAAACAACAGCAACACAAATTAAACTGTGGCAACAGTGTATGTTGCATTTAACTTATATTTTTGCATATTAACAACATTAAAGTACCTCCAATTGTGGACAAAATTTTATATTCTGATTTTTAAAAACTTTAATATATTTTAAACATTTTCCCAAGTAACTGAAGTCTTTAAAAAACATGATTTTTTATTAGCTGTTTAATATTCCCTGTCACAGAGAAAGAAAACCTTTTTTTAATATTTCCATGTTATAAGTTGTAATGTTTTTGCTTTCATTTATAATTTTATTAATGGATCCTCTTTTTTCCCTTGGTTAGTGTGGCTAAAGGCTTGCCATTTGTTATCTTTTTTAAATAGTAAACTACTTTTTTTATCTTTTTTAACTACTTTTATCTTTTTTAACTACTTTTTTAAACTACTATTTTTTATCTTTTTTAAGTAAACTACTTAAAAATAACAAAATAATTTTACTAACTTTAATGGATATATGTATTAGTTTCATTTCTCTATATAACTAATAAGTTCCTTGTTATTTTTACTATATTTGCTGTTTAATCAAATTTCTATATGTTAAAAAAAATGGTAGGGGCCTCCCCGGTGGCACAGTGGTTGAGTGCTGGGTTGCGAAGCTGCCTGCAGCCTCTACAGCACCGGTTCGATCCCCGGCTGCTCCCCGGCCACCGGAGGAGGGTCCCACATGGCGTGCAGACCTCTCTTGCTGCCCGCTGCTCCCCTCAGCAGTGTACTTCGGTCCTTCTGCCTGCTCTGCTCCCCGCTCTGCTCTGGCTCTGGTGAATTCTCTCACCCTCCCACGCTTCTACTGTACCCAGTGCTTGTATAAATCAATCAATCAATCAATCAATCAATCAATCAATCTTTTAAAAAAAAAAAAAAGGCAATTTCCCCCCCAAATTAGAATTTTGCTGTTAGCATTGTCAAAAATTCTTTTTGAGTGCAATTTTCTTTCTTTGACATTCACTCAGGAATGCAATATTTATATACTATTTTAATCAATTCTATGCAAAGTACTATATATAAGGTTTTATATAGCACTTAGTATAGCACTGGTAAATGAGGGATAAATTTAAAGATATTCAAGAAACTTTAAGTTACTCAATTGAATGTTTTCTCTCTTTATCAACTATGTGAATAAAGACTCACTGAACTAAGATAGATACTACACTGGGCTTTGCTATGCCAACTCACAAGGCAACGCTATTAGCTTATTTCTCTCAACTTGACTTTACCATGTAAATAAAAAGACTTTTAAAAAAAGATGGGTACTCTTTACTCACCCTTAGGGAGTCAGTACATAGGAAAAACGTAACGAAGTGAGGAAGGATGAACTCAACTGACTGAGAAATATTAATTACTTCTAAGCTATATTATTACTGGGCTGAGATTAAGTTTATTCTATAGGTAATCCAGTGAGAAAAATAAAGAAGAACTACAATATTTTTTAGAGAAGATATGCTAGAAGCCAATCGATTCCACCACATGCCATACATTTTTGTACTATAGTGTGCTACAACTGATGTGGTACCGTTTCTCCTCTTAATCATGACCTTGCCTAGTAATCCTAAACCACTCTTCCTAAAATGTAACTATTATTTTTAAATAAAAGTAACAGAAACAACTATAATAATTTGATATTGTTAAATTCAATTTTTTTAAATGGGTTGAGACACACAAATTTTTTTTTTTTTTTTGGGAGATCAAACTGACCATAGTTGCTTACTGTAAGCCACTTCTTGAGCCATGGGAGATATATGTATTTTGGTTGCTTCCATCATTTGAACTTTAACTTCTACCCCTTGAAATGTTTTTTTCTATCTTTGTCACTGATCCCAGCTCTAATGATAGCCAGAAATACTTAATAAAGGGTAGATAACTGTTAATAGATTCTATACATATGATAGTTTAAAAACATTAGTACATTTTTACTGAAATTGTTACACACAACTGCTTACCTGGTATAATAATGTCTCCAAAACCCAACAGTGAAACTGGCATATAGCACACATGCATTACTGAGAAGTAAGTTAGCTTTGGCACCCTGATGACTACTGGTAACTGTAATAAATTAAAAAAAAAAAAAAAAAAAAAGGCCAGCAATAAGTCTCTTAGGAATCTTAATTCTTATCTTTTAGAAAAGGAAGGACTGATATAGGAATAGTTATTTTAACATTTTTAAATTGACATTTTAGAAGAACTTGAAATCAGAGAACATAAACTATGCACACATATATATTTACATACACACACTCACTCTGAATGTATAGAAACTCAAAAGAAATAGAGACATAGTTTTGGAAAAATGAAACACAACACACATATAGGCTTAACATTATTAATCCAGTATTCCCATGTCTAATCTTTTTTTCCCTTTTTTTACCAAAAATAGGACTCAGGCCTTGAAACAGATTTTTTTTTTTTTTTTTTGCAATCTGGATTTTTTTTTCCTCAAAGAAGAATCTTGTCTCAGAGGGTATGATTTAAGGTCCAGTGAACATATCTGAAATACAATCCTTACTTTCTCATGGGGAGCTGAGGGTTGAGCTGTGGCTTCCACCAAGTTTCCATCATTCTAGGATGAAACCCAAGTCAATAGGTATTTAATAATTTAGAATTACTATGAAAAGGGCTATATTTTGTGAGAAATAAAGTTATACAATACCTTAACATGCACTACATGACCAATGAATTATACAGGGAGGCAAAATTATTTACTGGACACACATACATACACTGGCAACCACTGCAGTAAATTGTCATCCTTACCTTTTCATTATTTCTAAAAGGTCCAGCTGCAAGTTCAACCATGATACTCTCACCATTCTAAAATTGAAACGGAACATGAAAGAAACTGATCATTTAATGAGAATAATATGACATTACTTAAGAATGATTTGACTCTATGTCTACTCTAAGCTGATGAAAAATGAATCACAGACTTTTTTGTCTAAAACAGTCTCTGTAGAAAGCAAAAATTGGCATCATCTAAAATAAAAATGCATTTAGCATAGTGCTCCACTTTTTCAGAGCTCAACAATTATCAGAAATTGGTAGATAAACTGATTTGTACTCATGTATTAATATCTAGTATTTGTAATAGGCTATAAGTGCTTTAAGTTATGTCATATACTATCTGTCCTGTCATTTTTAGTAATAACAATGAATAGGGATATAAATACTAAAATTTTTTATATTCAGATTTGTAATAAGTATTGGTAACTTTATTTGAATAAATATGCATTTGACCTTCTGGCTACCCACCATAATAACAAAGCAATCAAGAACTAAAGAACCTGAGAAGTTTCTCTAGCTTGATTCTTGCCCAATTTCAGCCCTGCCTGTGTTTTATTTCCCAATCAAAATATTAATCTTAGCTGAATTATCCACCATTGTATCTGACTAAGGTTTTATTATGTGAGAACATCATTTAAAATTTCTTTCCTGAGAGTCATGTGTGTAGTGGAGAAGAAAAATATTTTGAGGTAGCAGCTAAGATTGCATGAGTACTCATTTTATGCTTCACATTATGATACATATGTTATTAAAACAGGTAGTGGGAAGATAAATGCCAAATTTCAGGAAAATTTGATTGACTAACTTCAATATTTTCCAGGGGTGGAGTGCATTGGAAAAATAGCCTGAGTGTTTTAAAAAGGGTTTTAATGATACCTGAGCTGGGTAGAAAGGATAAAATCCTTAGATACAAAAGTCTTTTCCTGATGCAAAGCTTTGAGTTCCTAAGTCACAGGAGTTTAGGAAAAGAAAATAATAATAAATGCAGTTCTCTATATCAGACTCCCATGATGTGACTGAATTTCCAAATAGCTCATATTGGTTCATTTCTAACTGTTATTTAAAACACTGAACTGAAGACAATCACTAATGTCCTCTCATACATTCAAAGATATCTGAGTAACTACTATTTCAAGATACTATACCAAATATAGTTGTGGATTTAAAAAAAATATAGTTGTGGTTTTATGGCCACTAAACCTTCCAATTCATTCAAAGTATTCTAACACCAGAGTCAAAAACAGTTAGTGTCCAATATTTAATTCTCAAAATTTTAGGTAAAAACCACAAAAATCAGTAATTACTACCTGATTTCATTTTCAGTTACCTGCTAAATTAAGGTGTATAGCCTAAATAAAAACAACAAAAAAAAAATGAGACTGAGGTGTTAAAGTAAATCTACAACTGTGAATTCCAAAGAGCACTTTAATCTTTGCTATCATATCAGATTACTGAAATAATATTCCTAGTCAATAAGAAGATTAAAAAAAAAAAAAGATGAAAAACTCCCTGAGCGCAGCAGAAAAAAAAGTATACTCAAAGTCATCTTTATTATTACCCAATATCTTTAAAATGCTAAAACTTTTTATGGAAATGGTTTTCCATTCCAAAATGACACATTTGGCATTTATAAACTGATACTAGTGTTAGAACAGAAATATTATTTTTAAAAAGAGTTTTAGTTTATAGCCATGTCCACTGTGTAATAAATGTGTCATATGCTATAACTATCTGCTGACTTACGGGAATGACTTTGTAGAGAAAATGATTTACTTTCTTATGAATCTCTGAGGGAATGACCTACATACAGAAACATTTTGTTCAACCAAATAAATTGACACAAGGCAGTTTCCATAGAACTTCTAAAAATGCTTTAATAAATTAACAATTTTTATTATAATCCATATACTAGTTCTATGCTTTTTTAAGTTACTATTGTTCCATGAAGTCAATGAGTCAAACAGCTCATCATTAGGACAGGGAAAGGTGCTAGTAAAAACATTTTGGGTAGGTGTCATTAGGAACAGTTAACTACATGCTACCTATTGCAAGTTCAGCTCTGCAGTTGGGCACGTGTTTGTCTTATGTCTTTACATCAAATATCAGAAGTGAAAATTTTTACAGCTATTTCACAGATGGCAGGATACAGCTTAAGGCTCGAAGTAAAATGAGAAAAGTGGGGGAATTAAGCAACAATTAATATATTCATGAGATAGCATTAGGAACAAGGTAGACAAGTTGGGAAAATAATAAGGCCTACCACTCACCCAATACCTCTCCCTTATTCTGGGAACACAATATCACCATTTTTTTTTTTTTTTAATATTTAAGGAGCAGGTTTATTAGGAAAAGGGATAGAAAAATAAAGGACACTTGCATAGACACAAGCGGGCAGAAAGAACTGCCAATACCACCATTTTATTGTGAAACTAAAAGCAGAGCTAGGAAAGAATGACCTAGGAACTGCCATTTGCTATGATTCTAATTTCATGGAAAAATCCAGTTCAAGAGAATAATCAAATGGACAGCAACAGAAAGGAGGTATGGGCCTCCCCAGTGGCGCAGCGGTTGAGCTCTGGGTTGCGAAGCTGCCCTCAGCCTCTGCAGCACCGGTTCGATCCCCGGCTGCTCCCCGGCCACTGGAGGAGGGTCCCACATGGCGTGCAGACCTCTCCTGCCGCCCCTGCTCCCCTCAGCAGTGTACTTCAGTCCTTCTGCCTGCTCGCTCCCTGCTCTGGCTCTGGTGAATGCTCTCACCCTCCCGCGCTTCTGACTGTACCCAGTGCTTGTATCAATCAATAAATAAATCTTAAAAAAAAGAAAAAGGAGGTATATGTACCCCTGGGTCTATTTTCCTTGAAGCCAGCCCTATCTTGGCCTCTAAACACAACCTGTATATATGAACCTATTTGGTGTAGAAAGATCTCTTTCTTAGTCTAAAGAAATGAAGTAGCAATGACATCATTTCATTCTTTTTGCTGTCTATATTGTCTACAGGAAACACTTAATTGACTTATAATAATACTTTAAAAAGGTTAGGAAGAAAATGGACCATTCTCATGTTTACTTTATTTAGCTAGGAGACATTCTTTTATCTAGCAAAATGGCTTAAGGAGTTGAAATTACTCTCTGTTAAAAGACAAATTTCAATGATAATTTGCATAAAACAATTAGAACTCATTTACTGGCAAACCAATGTAAAACCAATCATTTAAAAAACAGCTTTAAGATTCTCATCTTTTAGCATGTTCCTCATATATTTCAAAAACAAAGCATACCTTTGTGATGAATGGTGTTATGAAAACAAAAAACACATCATATAGGAGGAGAAGGCCTAAGAGTATCACACATGACTGTTGAAGAAAGAAAGAAATTTAAAAGTCAAACCTCCGTTATCTTTATTGAGAGTATATATTTTGTGAGTACAATAAACAAGTGAAAACATTCTTGAATACTATTTTAAAGGCATTTAATGATTATTATTACTATTTGTAGTTTTATTACACAAATCACATTATAACTTTTATTTCTTTACCCTGTTCTTAAAAAAAAAAAAAGCATTGCGTCAGAGAAATGTTCCTTCCTTATAATTAATCCAGTAAGGATTTTATGAATTTGACATGTTGTATGAATGCCTAAAAAATTTTTAAACCAGCATATCAGTGGTTGGCAGAGGATTAGGATTGTATGTAAAATGGCATACTAGATCTTTGGAAGAGAAAAGGAATGTTCTATAGTTTGATTAGAACAGTGGTTACCAAGTTATATACTTATAAAATTCAATAAACAGTACACTTAAAATGGGTGCATTTTATTCCATACAAATGATACCTAATAAAGTTTTTTTTTTTTTTTAAGATTTATGAGCGCAGCGCTGTGAAGCTGTCCAAGCCTCTGCAGCGCGGGTTTGATTCCCGGCCGGCCAGGGAGATACCCTCATGGTGCAGCAGACCTCTCCTGTGGAGCCCGCTGCTCCCCTCAGCAGTGTATTTCAGTTGTCTGCCTGTTCTGCTCCCTGCTCTGTCTCTGGTGGATCCTCTCACCCTCCTGCGCCTCTGTCCTGTACCCCAGCTCTTGTATAAAAATAAATAAATCTTTAAAAATATATATTTATTTATTTATACAAGAACTGGGATATAGGCCAGAGGTGCAGGAGGGTGAAAGGATTCACCAGAGACAGAGCGGGGGACAGAACAGGCAAATCTACTGAAATACACTGCGAGGGGAGCAGCCAGGGAGGCAGAAGAGGTCTGCTGCGCCATGTGGGTATCTCTTGGGCTGGCCAGGGATTGAACCCATGCTGCAGAGGCTGTGGACAGCTTCACAGTGTGGCACTGAATCGCCTGTGCCACCAGGGAGGCCCCCTAATAAAGTTGTTTTAAAAGGAAAAATTTATTTCAGCTAGCAAAGTAGTTACCTTGAAGTTGGGTAACTTCAATGTTTTAATTAAATTCAGACAGAAAGCAATCCCCAAGATATCCTGAAGGATCCAAGCCCACCTAAAATCAAAAGAAATTATGCTGCTATATTATTCAGTCATTTTTAGATGAACTTCAAAAGAAATAGATCTCTAAAGTAATAACATACTCAACTGCTATGATTTGACTAATTACTAAGCAACAATTATAATAACCTGTTATAGTTTACATATTTAACAACTTACTGTACAGTAGAATAATATTACTATACAAGAAAAAAGGCTACCTAGAAGAATATCAGGTTTACATACACTATTGTTAATCTTTGAACTAAGATAACTTATAACTAAGACTACTGGTGTTAATATAAGTCTGGATATCTAGAACATAGAGGAAACAACAGCTATGCAACTTACTTCATCAGAAATAGATAAGCATAATTACCAATTATCGTACCTGAAGTTGCCCAGCATTGTATAAACTCCCAGATTTTAAGCCATTAAAGTCTACACAAGTCCTTTAATCATTTTATTAATAAACTATTCAATAAAGTTAAACATAATTTTTTTTTTCTGGTCATCCCACCTGCAAATGGACAGATACCTGTATATTTTCTTAGATTACCTTCCTTACATGCAAAGTGGTATACTGCAGATACTCTTTTGTACTTTTCTCATTTAAAAATATACTCTGGAATTCACTACATAAATTCAAAGAGCTCATTATTCTTCAAAGCTGCATGTTTTACTCCATTATTTATGTCTATCCCACAATTAAGTATATTTCTGAAGCCTAGTCCAGCTTAGATGTTAAAATAATGATTCACACTGCCTTCTCTGTATGACTGCAAACCCATTAGCACAATATCTTACGTACAAATTTATTTAGCTTTTTATTTTTTTTAATCCCAGACAATGGTATTCTGAAACAAGGCAAAAAAAAAAAAATTCCATAATGACCAGAATGAATAACTATCAAGGCAAGATATACAGTAATACACTCTCAATCTAAAAGCAAATACAGAGTGCTCATACCTATCTTCATTTCGAAAAACGGCCCAAACAACAGCTACTGCTATGCATAGTCCAGAGAGAAAAATAAGTCTCACTTCGATGCTTTTACCACGACACACAATCCTAAAAAAAATTTAAATATCCTTAAAAAAATTCTTTAAATGTCCTTAAAAAATATTAAAAAGGTTAGCTTACTCTGTAGATGAAACACAATATTTAACATAAAAAACAATCACATTTACTGTTACAGGAAGTTACAGGAAATTATTGATATATCAATTTAAAAGTCTTGACTTTAAGTAAAAGGAATGACATATAATAAAATAAAGTAATAAAATGTTTCTCAGCTAACCAGGACTTTCTATGATGATGGAAATGTTATCTATCTGTGCAGGCCAGTTCAGGAGCCATTAGTACTTGAAATGTGGCTAGTAAGAGTAAGCAACTGAATTTTAAATTTTATTTAACTTATATTTGAATTACCACATGTATATCAGACTACACAGGTTTAAAATAACACTCATACTTTTTCTAGTATTGATTTCAGTTACAAATGCCAACAATATGAGATTCCTCATAAGATACATACGCGCACTGTCCACAAGGTATCTTACGAATTAGTGCAGCAAGACAGTTGTACAGACTCATTGCAGATGCTATGCAGAAAATTGCTATCATAACATAAACTGGAAAAAAACAAGAAAGTACATTATATGGGAATAGAAGGAAGTAGGATAAGAAAATATTTATACAAACAATATTCTTTTTCTTTTTTTTAAAGATTTATTTTTATTTATACAAGAGCTGGGGTATAGGCCAGAGTGGGGAGCAGAACAGGCAGATCTACTGAAATCCACTGAGGGGAACAGTGGATAAGCCATTTATAAACACCTTTTAAAATGCAATTTATGTACGAGAACTGACACTTGACTTTATTTATTTTTTTTTTATAAATTTTATTTTTATATTCCCCCATACAACTGCACATGCCCCATTCTGACCCCAATCCCTCCCCTCCCGGCCCCCACCCCCCAAAAAGTGTCTCTGGTTCATAGTTTTTTGTTGATTTTGATTTTCACTTTCTTATAGTTATTCTTTTTCCTGATCCCTTATTTAAGTTTTCTAGATTCCTGCTATGAGTGAGACCATCCGGTATTTTTCTTTTTCTTTTTGGCTTATTTTGCTGAGCATGATCCCTTCCAGCGCCATCCATGTTGCTGCAAATTGCATGTGTTTATCTTTTTTGAATGCTGAGTAATATTCCATGGTATATATGTACCACATCTTCTTGATCCAGTCATCTATTTTTGGGCATTTGGGCTGTTTCCAAAGCTTAGCTATTGTAAATAGTGCTGCTATAAACATAGGGGTGCAGGTGTTCTTTGGAATTGATGTTTCTGTGTCCTTTGGGTAAATACCTAGGAGTGGAATTGCTGGATCATATGGAAGCTCTATGTTTAGTAGGTCCAGAAATCTCCACACAGCTCTCCATAGTGGTTGGACCAGTTTGCATTCCCACCGACAGTGCAGGAGAGTTCCTTTTTCTCCACACCCTCGCCAACATTTGTTGTTGCTAGTTTTTTTAATATGTGCCATTCTCACTGGTGTAAGATGGTATCTCATGGTAGTTTTGATTTGCATTTCCCTGATGACAAGTGATGTTGAACATTTTTTCATATGTCTGTTGGCATTTGCATTTCCTCTTCAGAGAAGTTTCTTTTTAGCTCTTCTGCCCATTTTTTGACTGGAGTATTTTCTTTGTTGTTGTTGAGTTTCATCAGCTCTTTGCAGATTTTTGTGATCAGTCCTTTATCATTAGTGTTGGGTGCAAAAATGTTCTCCCAGTTGGTGGGGTTTCTCTTTGTTTTTGTTATTGTCTCTTTTGCTGTGCAGAAGCTCTTTAATTTGATGTAGTCCCAGCTGTTTATCTTTGCCTTCACTATCACTGCTTTGGGTGATGTGTCTGTAAAGATGTCTTTGATATGCAAATCACGTAGTGTTTCACCTATATTTCCTTCTATGTATTTTATGGTTTCAGGTCTTATGTCTAGTTCTTTAATCCATTTTGAGTTGATTTTTGTGTATGGTGTGAGGTAGACACTTGACTTTAGATATTAACCATGCCATCTGTATTTTCCTATGGTGGAATTTGTCTATAGTAACTTGACCTGTAGTACTAAGCCAAATCCATTTACACAAAGCTCTGTAATGATACTGCACTAAGGTAGTTAAAATTGTTTTTCTATAGTAGCTATGCTTATTTGAGCAGTATTTAAAATAAAAAACACCTGACAGCCTCCCCAGTGGTGCAGCAGTTGAGCGCTGGGCTACGAAGCTGCCCACAGCCTCTGCAGCGCGGGTTTGATCCCGGCCGCTGGCAAGGGTCCCACATGACGTGCAGACCTCTCCTGCCGCGCCCGCTGCTCCCCTCAGTAGTGTATTTCGTCAGTCTGCCTGTTCTGTTCCCCGCTCTGGCTCTGGTGAATTCTCTCACCCTACCGCACTTCTTACTATACCCAGTGCTTGTATAAATAAATAAATAAATAAATAAATAAATCTTTAAAAAATAAAATAAAAAAACTTGATCTCGTTGTTAAAAGGTGGGAAAAGTATATATTCTAATATAAAAGTACTTGCTTTGTAAACTTTCTCAAAATATCATAATAGAAATACAAATTTTACCTGAATTTTTAAATTCCATTAATTTCAATAAATAACTATGCTATAGATGAGTTTAGACTCAATAAATCAGGGATAGTCACTTTTCTAATGGCGATCTTGTCTCATTTCTAAATACATAAAATGTAACAATAGCCATTTTAGGATTATTATGAGGTTGAGACAATAATATATATATATATATATATGTATATTTAATGCCAGAGTAATGAAGATCTTAACACTTCTGACAATTTAACAAATCAGTATCATCTTTCAATGATTCACTTAGGTTTTCCAAGTAGACTACTTTAAATGAAAAGATAAATCTGGCAAAATAAATGAAGATAGTATGCTTAAAGCTACAAATATAAAATATGACTTCTTACCCAACCATTTGTAGAAGAAATAAAGTAAGACCATCATAACACAGCAGATGACCACAAACATTACAACTGTTAAAGGAGTAAAGGTTAAATATTCTTCCTTCTTTCTTCTCATTTCTCCTTCTTCAGCATGTGTCATTGCCTTCATGTTTTCCCTGCATAAACATGCAAAGGAACGTCAGCACATCTCTGCCAAGTGCAGTTATTTTTAAAGTCTACCTCTACTTTAACACAACTTAAATTTGAGTACAAAGAAATATACCTTAAAAAAAAAACCTTGCACACCAAAATAAATATTTAATTTAGAACATAAAAATTCCCTATTCTCTCCAGAGATGACATGTTATAAACCATTTATTTTGAAATAGTATTTTTTCCTGGCAGAATTACTGAACTTTATTATATAAACAATGTCTATAGATATTTGTATTATGTAATTTGGAAACTACATTGAAATAATATATTTCAAATTATACACTTTTTATACACTTTATATGATCTATTTACACACAGTAAAACACTTCTAAAATTAGCTTCTTTTAAATGTAAACACAATTCTTTTATCAATCAACTTAGAAATTACTATTTGACGCTCATCAATATATTATGAAGGATTCAAAAGAAGTTTAAGACAAAACTTTGTCCTATCTCAATTTAAGATAACAAAAGTTTGTTTCTAATTCTCCCAATAATCTTGCTAGGTCACAGAGCTAATAAATAGTGGACAGAAGTTAAAGATGAAAGAGTTAAAAGTTTCTTGAGCAATTTCTGTTCTGTCACTCATTGTTACTTCCCTTACATGAAACCCACCATATACTTTTCCAGCTTTAGTCCCTTCAACTCTGGTCTATTAAACTTACCCCCTTGCATATATCTTGACCCTTCCTATCAAATTTGGGCTCAATACAAACTTTAGATTTAAAGAAGTTTGCATTTCTATAAAATTGCACTTTTGCCAAGCTGCTTATTTACCAACATGCCATTTTCTTATTAGAAAACTGTTGATTAGGATGATCACCATGTTAAGCATCTGACTCTAGGGAGGCTGCCTGAGCAAAAAGCAGGGAGAGAGTCTGAAGAGACACAACAGCACTCCAGTGAGGTGATACAGTTTGATCATAGGGTATTAACACAGGTTTCAATGAAATGGAACTTGAATGGGAAAATGTGCCAAACATTTTTTTATCATTAAAAATATATATTTAAAGACATTTTTATCATTACACACAATAAGCCATAGTAATTACAAATGAATATATTCATATTCAGTGTGCTAAAGAGCACTACAAAATATCTTGAAGGGAAAAGATACTAAAGTTGTACCACAATTAAAGATTACAATTCACCTTTTTAAATAATTGTACTGAAATCAGTTTGAGACATATACAATTGGAAGCTAAGCTTTCTTTCATGCCAGCCTGGGACTACGAAACCTGAAGACCAGTTATCTCTTTGTAATAAGACTTTATCTCTCTACTAAAAGGTCTTTATATGGAACCAAGGCATCTTTCCCTTTTGCATAAGGTACATCTTTCATTTGGCAGGGTAATTCAAAAGAATATGAGGGCATGTTGTGGGAAATTTTCCCCTTCCTAAGCCTTACTCTCTTTCCCCTTTTCTTTCAAACTAACTCTCTGTACTTGCTAAATGGTAATCTTTTAAGAAAATTTAATTATGATATAATTCACATACAACATTAATTTCAGGTGTACAACACAATTTAATATTTGTACATATTGCAAAATGATCACTACAATAAGTCTAGTTAATAACATTGCATTATCATAGTTACATATTTTTTTCTTATAATGAGCATTTTAAAGAGCTAATCTCTTAAGCAACTTTCAAATATGTAAAACAGTATTTTTAACTATAGTCACCATGCTGTACATTATATCCCAGGCCTATTTTATAATAGGCCACCTTCACCCATTTTGTCCACCCTACCACCCCCACATCTAACTAGAACCAGTATCTGCTGTTTGTATCTCTGAGTTCGGTTTAATTTTTTTTTACATTCCAAATATCAGTGGGATCATATGGTATTTGTCTTTCTCTCTCTGACTCATTTTACTTAGCATAATGCTTTCAAAGTCCAAAGTTCACCCATATTGTCATGATACTCATGTTCTTAATAATTCTTTTTTATGTTTTTTTCCTTTTTATCAGTGATTCATTTCTCTAAGTTTCTATTACCACTATCTCGCACCCACATACACTTAGTACTTTCTATCTTTAAAGGACCTTTCCTCTCCCAACCTTCTATTGAAGGCAACAAATTCTTTTTTTCTGTCCATCATCATGTTTTACGAATAAAAATGCTAGTATATATTACTCTCCCATCTTCAACTTTCTTGAAGAAGAGCCAGCCCTGACATGTACATGAAGTTTGTTTCGCTAACTCAAAAGGTAATCCACAAACCAGCAAAATCACTTGGTAGATTTTTAAAAATTCAAATTTCTAGCCCCCATGCCAAATCTACTAAATATGAATTTTAATTTTAATGAAATATCCAGACACTTTGTATGTATATTACAGTTTAAGAAGCACTACTGTAGAAAGTGCTTCTGGTAATGGAAGCACAGTGAGAATCTATTAATTGGGGAAACATTTTCAATGAATTAGTAACTTTAGGGAAATTATTATAAAATTTCACCAAATAATCTAGAAAATGATCTTGGAGATGTTTCTTAGATATGATGTTTTAGAAACATTAATAATGAAGAAAAAGCAATATTTGTTCATATGAAAGAAAGCATGTGGACTGACATATGTTAAAACATATTTTCCAAATATGTAAAATACTTAAAGCTCAATACTCCAGGACCCTACACTGTTAAATCCTAAGATCTCTCTCTTTCTTTTTTTTAAAAAGATTTACTTTATTGAGTTATGCATACAAGAACTGGGGTGTAAGCCAAAGGTACAGGGGGTGAGAGTACTCACCAGAGACAGAGTGGGGAGCAGAACGGCGGATCTACTAAAATACACTACTGAGGGGAGCAGGCGAGACAGGAAAAATCTGCTGTGCTATGTGGGTTAACTTCCTGGGGATTGAACTCATGCTGCAGAGCCTGGCAATAATAGCTTGATATGCTGAGACTTCAACCCCTGTGCCACCAGGGAGGCTCCTGAGAGATATAATTTTAATTTAGAAGAGTCTTTGATGAAACTTCAATGTTCCCTGTAAGCAGGAGAATTACAGGAGCCCCTGACCCCTTCTCAGTGAAATGTTAAATGATCTTCATGAGAATAAACTGGCACTGATCCTATTTGCCTTATATTCCTGAAGGTAGAATTTAAATGTTGTTATATGATTAAAATGATTATTAAACAAGAATTTTAAAGCATTTAGCAGAAAAAACTCTGAAGTTTAACTTAAACTTACAATTCAATTAGTCCACTCCAATATCCGCCTAGTGCCACAGTGGACACGGCAATTAAAAAAATAACCACCATGGTATAGTCAAAGTTTGGCTTTGATGGAGAATACATTTTCACAGTAACATTATTTCCAAGAGTCTGAAAGGCAAAAGAATAGTGAAACACCAGAATTAGTTTTCTCTCTATTACAGTGTACAGCAACAACATTCCGACTTCACTTTGAAATGGACACTACATATCAGAATCAAGACAACTAGAACTATTTTTGACAGCCTGATATAGTCTCTTGTCAAAATTATGAGCCAATGCTTTGGTTTATTAAATCATGAAAGAACAGTTTGCAAACCACAGTCATATTTTGTTTAGGGATTTAAAGATAAAATACATGATTTTTAAAGAAATCAGAACAAATAAATATCCTTTCTAAAATCGGGGCTCTGAAATACCTTGTGCTAAATGAGAGGTGAATACTTCTCAAATAAAGACCTGATTTACCTTTATGGCAAATAAACATGCTCTACTAATTATTAAATACACCATATGTAATAATTTAAATATCAGTGTTTAAAAATATTGAGTTTTGTACTATTTATAAACTTGTCTTATGTAATCACTAATTTACCTGCTCCATATCATTAAAGTCTTTGTGGAATATAAATGCAATCAGTATTTTCACATCCTGAAATTCAGATTTGTTCCCAGAGGGAAGAAACTAAAAGAAAAAAAAACATTATGAAAATGTATGAATGAGTGTATTTATAGGATAAAATCTAAATTATTCCATTAAATAGAATATTACATCTTTTTAAAGCTATAAAACAAAGTTTAAAGTATTTTTTCTCAATATTATAGTTAAGAGTCCTCACACTGGATGGAATCCTTTTAGCATAAAGATATACATATAGGTATATAAATATGGTCTGTGATATACACATACATCATTTGTTGTATTTGTATTTATTTAACACACATGTGCACACTAATAAAATCCTGTCCACTTTAGGAACATAAACGAAACCAGAAAATTGTCCAGTCCCAGTTAAATGCCTATTATATTTAGAGTGTTTATTAAAAAAAGAATCCTACTATCAGATTATTCAAAACTCAGGAGACAGTTCAATTCATGTGAAATGTAATATCATGAGCTCAAAAGTTATTCTAGGTTTATAACTTACTAGGACACTGTTGTTAGCAACCAACAATGCTTCAGCACCAGCTTTTTGTGCAATTCTGGCTTTTTCAAGAAAATGGCAGGTTCCCCACTGTACCACAACTGCTGTGTTCTTTAATCCATCGGGAGGAACATCAGAAATTTTGCACAGGGGTGTAGTAGTCAGATTCATCAAACTTACAGAAGTCTGAAAAGAAGAAATGTCTTTAACATGATAAATATATTTTGCCCTAAACTAATTCAGTGACAAACTATCAGAAATTTTTTGACACTCAGACTTAAGTATTTTAAAATTCTCTAGCTTTTCTTCTTCAGAGACAAAAATATTTATGTAAAAGCAATAAATTTATTAATCATCATATATTACAAGTAGTTCACAACTAAAACATATCAAGCACTTATTTTCACCTTTCAATATTTTCATGTTTACAAATAAATAGTAACTATGATTTACTTACTGCATTTTCTAGGGTACTTGGAAGAGCTGTCCAATTGGAGTTATATAGCATGCAGTAGTCCTTAGATAGGAGAGGTGTGCCACTTCCAGATGCATGCAGGATTGCTTCCTGAGCAGCTGTCTAGGACACGAACAATAATTTTTACACTGGCAATAATTTACCTTGCTAACAACTAAGGATTTTAATAAAGCTATTTGTATACAGGTTTGACCACATTTTCTAAGAAGGAAAGTCTTCAATGAATTTATTTATTAGTGTTTGAGGAAATACTGAAAAGATATACTTTTGCACAGAACCCATTTTTTTTAAGGAAGATAACTCACTTTCTTGCAGAAACACAACTTAGACCTTGTTATAAGAGCTATACGCCAGGGAGGATTCTTACTATAATGTGGTAACTTCAACACTGCCTTCATTGCCTGAAACTTTCCTTCCTAGATCTCTTATTTGTTAATTCATTGTTTATGTTTTATAAAAGAAAATGCTCTTGAAATCCCTCAACCTGTCTTAACATTCTATATTCAACAAATATTGGGGGATGGGGGGAGATGGCACATTATTATTTCTAAGTGCCATCTTTGGCGGAGAACCAGACAAACTGGAATTCAAAGTTTTTAAGACTCTGCAATTCCCTATTCAAAAAGATGAATCAAGATTTAAAATGAGACGGAAAGTTAGAAAAATGCTCTTTCCTTTTGCCTCATTTTCCACCACCTGGAAAGAAAAGAGAGACGAAAGACAACTGATTGAGAAAAATAACTACTGTACACAGGGATTAAAGATGGGAGTGCAGAGTATGAAATGAAGAAATATCCTAAAATAATTAGAAGACCACTTCACATCACAATTCCCTTCAAACTTGGATCAATACAAATCTTTTTTCTCTCCTCCTATGAGCAAATATTTCTCTAAAACATGAGAGTAAACAGATTATTTGGCAAATAAAGATGATATATTAGTCTCTAATACAAAGCATAGGTTGAGTGACATGAAATTGCTATTGATCATTTTTGATCTGTAAAATTGATATTTCACACAAATCAATATAAATTTCTATTGAGTACAGAAATGCTCTAATCCATGCTTTCCTATCTAAAATGTCCCTTGAATATCTGGGATCAGAGAGATTTCTGGCATACTCTGGGTTTCATTAGCATAAAGATCTAAGCAAGTGCAGAAAATTCATAAAATATCATACAATTATAAAGAATAATTAGATAAGGAAAATTATTTATACAAGAAAGAAATTTAGTTTTCATTCAACTCTATAGATGGTGGCCACGAACAGATTCTGACAATAAAGGTAAACTAGTATGTTAACTTCTTAATACACAACTATGTTTATGTTTTTATAAACAATCTATATGGACTTAAAGTATACTGAATTTACTTTCATACATTCATTTGATTCAAAGTCACTGTTTTACAGATGAAGGGTCTGAGTCTCAGAGAAGTTACTAACATAACATACTAAAAGTCCTACAATAGAATCATGTACAATTCCAACTACAGGGAGGAATCCTGCAGATAATCATTAGGGTTAACTAGGTTTAGGTTAAACATTTTTGAAAAGAATGCTTCATAAGTGAAATGGGTAATTCTTGTTGTATTCAATAAAATAGTGTATATAAGGATGGCCCACCAATAGTGATACTGACTCTGATTATCTGTCTTAAGTAGTAATCACAGAATTTCTCCAGTTTAAAGTTACATATTTTTTCTTTTGATTGATAAGCATCTTTTCACCATGTGGAACACACAAAAACCTCTTGCCTTGAGTTTTAGTTTCCATAATGATCCTCCTGTGATTTTAATTTTAGATATTACACTGCAGATTACAAAATGGTGGGGTTTTTTATATTTATTTTCTTACATCATTGTTAATTTTTGGATAGTATTTGATTTCTTCCCTCAGTTGTAGTCACCATAGTTCTCTCGTCACCATAGTGAATGTTTTTAATACTGTCATTACTTCTACATTTATTAGCTACTATTAGTCCTTTTTTTTTTTTTAAAGGGCATTACTCTCTCCCTTTACCACCTTCTATTTAATATCACTAGAGAGTCATTGATTTTTTTTTTTAAAATTCAATGTAGTATAATTACACTTATTTGTTAGATGTTCAAATAGTCCAGCTTTTGTCAGTAGAGTATCTTCCAGCTTGCTCTTTTTATCCTTTCGGCAAGACCACACTAGTCATTGAGGACTTCCTTGTTTGTTTTTTTTTTTGGAACAAAAGTTCCAGGTTGACTTTATCCTTTTTCTGCCACAGATTTGGAACCTGTCTTTCTGCTAAGCTCCTTTTAGAGAGAAATGGTATTTAGAACAGGATCTGGGTTCTAACTGTACACACTACTGCTGAAATGGTATAACCCTTAAAATAGACAAAAGGCAGTGTCAATAAAAATGTTAATATTGAATTCTCTGATCCATGCCCTAAGAAGTATTACACAAAAAAAAGTGCAAAGATAAATATATAAGGATATTCACTGCCATATAAATTTTTTTTTTAAATTCTGTCAACAAGGAGTCCATTATATTATAATATGCAACAGTATACAACTATTAAGAAGAATTAGATCTACCTGTAGAAAAGATGTCCATAGTGAGAAAAGCCAAGTTCCAGAGAGATATTTATAATACAACTCTATTTTTATAAAAATAATGAATCCCCTCAAGATTCTTTGTATTAATGTAAGTTTGAAAATAGATGGGGAGAGACACATGAGGCAACAGAGGAGAGGAAAACAAAGGCAAAGGTGAGACTATGAAAATACTGAAAAATTAAAAAAAGAAAAATCATTAAAACAAAACAGAGAAGTACATATAAAATCCCTCTGCTGTCATCCTGATTCTTATAGTCACACTCAGGATTTTTCTTAAAAAAAAAATCTTTCCAGGCACTATCACTAGATAGACAGACAAACAGACTTATACACATGGAATTATATTATATATAATGCTCTGTAATTTTTCTGAAATGTAAATTTTATGTATTAGATTTTCCATATTGATACACTAGGAGCTACCTCCTTTTATACAATTGTGTAACATTCAGTATAACTTTTACAGTTATAGAAACTAAGATTTTTAAAAAGCTTAAATGTTCAAGGAATACAAAGATATCCAAATATTAGTAAGTTTTTTGCTATAAAGTGATTATTATCTTCCCTACAGTTGCAGAAAGTACACTGATAAAAGTTAAACTCATTGATATGGAAATTATTAAGGTAAAATACAAATTATAGCAATTAGTAAACAAAGAGGAAAGTATACCCACATGTAATTGTAGACTAAATACTGAATGTGGAAGACAACAAATTTTCTGAGAAAGTGAATATCCTTTAGCTTTCAAGGAAAACACCTAAAAAAACTAAGCATTTCTACTATATTTGAAAATATCTTGGTGAAATTTCCAAGAGATTGTATGCCTTCAACCATAGAGAGAGTGTATGCCTTCACCTATCCTGTTGATACCATGATTATTGGATTTAGAGCCCTGAGATGGGACAGCAGTTTCACCATTTTACTGGCTACATCATCGAAGCCATTTAAAGGGTCTTAAGCTTCAATATCCTCAGCTTTGAGATGACAATCAATGCAACTTAGAGTTAATCATAAAGATTAAGATAGATGATGTAAATGTTTGCACATATTAAGCTCTTAATAAATGGTAACTTTTATTTTTAGTAATATATCTAGTACCTTGCAAAGTACTTGTATAATGCAGAAGAAATGTAGGATGATTAGTGTTAGGTAGGATGTGAGGCTAGATGGTGAGCTAAAGGATAATGGCTTTTTTTTATAGACTTAATTTTTTAGATCAGCTTTAGGGTCACAGAAGAACTGAGCAGGAAGTACATAAGCGTTCTGTTCACACATACACCCTTACCATACACATGTACAGCCTACCCCCACTTATTTCTATCCATGAACCTACATTGATATATTATCACCATTCAGTCTATACTTTCCATGTAGGGTTCAATACTGGTTTAGAAACATGTATAATGATACATCTCCACCATTATTACAGTATCAGACAGAATATTTCCCTATCCTAAAAATCCTGTGTTTGCCTACTGGGTTTCTTTTTAAGCTACTGAAAATTCAATGATCATGGTTGCATATAATCTGTGAATATACTAAAAACCATTAAACTGTACACTTTAAATTGGTGAATTTTGTAGTATGTGAATCTTACCTTAATAAATCTGCCACCACCCTCACCCCCAAGAAACACTAAACAAGAAATTAGTTTTACTGGGAAGATTAAAGACAAACTTAAAACAGATAACTACAAACAAAATGTGATTAAAGTCAGAGTTCTTAGTAAAAGCTTTAGTAGTTCTTTTTTTATTTTTAAAGATGTAATTGGCTTTCTTAAACTGTTTCATAAATCCCTCTGCATCCCATGTAACTAGTATAAAGGAACTCTGGAGAGCTGTACAAACTGGAAGGTTTTCCAGACAGAAAGCAGGTAGAGGAAAAGGATGAACGTATTGCTTCATGCAAGATAACCTTCCTATGGGAGGTGGATGGGGTCTATCAGGCAGATTACCTCATTAGTACTGCCCAGGATATTACAGCTTGCCAGCTAAAGGTGACATTTCTGGGAGATGTTGACACTGCAGTAAGACAGCTATTTAATATTGGATTGCTGGCATAGGGCTTAGCACAAGTGACTCCATTTGGTTGTTTCTTTTTTAACAATAACTTACCTAAAGTTAAAGAGTTAATTAAACATAGAGCCAAGACTAAAATGAGCAACTGTGTGGTACAGAAAACAGTGTGTAGGTTCAAGTTGTTATGGGGCACATCCTGGGGATAAAGGGGATACCCAAGTTTTATAAGCCATACCTGCATGCTTAAGAATACAGGATAACATCCAAAAGCAGATACAAAGAGAAATAAGAAAAAGGATTTAAAAGCATTTATATATGGAGTGAGAAAAGAGAGCAGAGAGAGGAGAAGAAAATTTATTGGCCTGCACATGGCCAGATGTCATCAGCTTAGGAGATAGCATCAGCTTTGGAGAAACCAGGGTGCACTAGATGCCAGCCAAAGAGAGTTTTAGCAGTTCTTAAGATGTTAGAAATGCAAATTCTTGGGCTCTATT